GGGGGGGGGAGAGAATTAGCATAGGAGTTTTAGATGCTGCATTCAGTTTCTAAGTTGAGAGTTGGGGCATCTGATTTTGAAATGTTTGGGAAACAGTGGGCCAGGTGATATATCTTAAGTTTTATGTTGGCTTATGCACAAAGGTGTGTGCATGTGTATCTATTGCTTTGCTTTTAGGAGGAATAAACAGCAGTGTCTATTCTGAACTACATTTTTGCAAGCGGAAGTAACTAAAATCGTGTGTGTGTGTGTGTGTGTGTGTGTGTATTTGTACTCCTAACTTCTCTGTAGTCCTCCGAACACTGAAATACTTTCCTAAACAATGGGATTCTTTGGCTCCCAAGGTGGCTTACAACATTAGATGTGTATCTCAATATGACAAAAACCAAGACCAGCAATTAAAAATAATACATTAAGCCTGCATTTCAATGAGGTCTTTTAACAAACAATTTAAAAGCTGTTAAAGGTTTGGTGGGATAAAAAGACATTTGCTGCCCATCTAAAACCATCAAAGACAGTGTTAGTTGATCTTTCCTTGGGAGAAACCTCTCTAGCTTGGGTGCTGCCATAAAAAACCCCCCACATATGTCTCGTGACAATGCCTAGTGGGTCTGTCTTGGCAGCAGAACACACAGCAGGGCTTCTGCTGATTTCCACAACTGTTGGGCTGGTTCATATAAGAGGAGGTGGTCCTTCAAGTACCCAGGTCCTAAGCCATTTAGGGTTTCATAGCGCCTTGAATTGGGCCTGGACCTAAACATGAAGCCAGTGCAGATGGAAGAGGGTGGATTTAATGTGGTCGGAATACTGAGGAGCCAAAGGCATTCTGCCCTTTTAAAGGCCTTCTTAATGTGTACATGAGTAACACTAGCCAAACACTAGCTGCTCCAGAGAAACGGACACGGAGCAATGGATCCAAACTACAAGAAAGAAGATTCCACCTAAACATTAGGAAGAACTTCCTGACAGTAAGAGCTGTTCGACAGTGGAATTTGCTGCCAAGGAGTGTGGTGGAGTCTCCTTCTTTGGAGGTCTTTAAGCAGAGGCTTGACAACCATATGTCAGGAGTGCTCTGATGGTGTTTCCTGCTTGGCAGGGGGTTGGACTCGATGGCCCTTGTGGTCTATTCCAACTCTATGATTCTATGATTCTAAATGGCTGCTCTGTGTGGTGAAAAGCAGCTTCAAGAGGGGCTTGGAGCAGAGCCACAGTAGGGGTGTATGTGTGAACAGAGCAAAATGTTTGGATCCAACTCCTTGTATCTATACTATTTATCACTTTCAGCAGTGTGAACTTTGGGTGAAACTAAGCATTATGAGATACATAGGACTACAGCTGAAAATGCCAGCCCTAAAGTAAACTCCCTTCTCTCTAGTATCGGGATAGTAACACTGGATTTCCCTTCCCCCATGAGTAGAAGTCACTGATGTGAAATGGGCGGTTAAAACATATCTGCCTGCTAACTGATTCCAGAAACTGCAGCAGCAACACTAAAGACCCAGATGAGTGCATTTCACGAGCACTTAAAAACATAATAATAGGGGCTACAGACAATATTAGGGGAGACTTCCCCCTGCAGAAAAACACCAAGCACCCTTGTTTAGAGAACCATTTTGTCCACACAGTCCATTCTGCCTACTTTCAGTGGTAACTGTTGGCTTCAGATGCCACAGTGAGTTGTGGTAGCAGCAATGGGGAACCTATTGCCTTCCAGATGTTGGTGGACTCCAACTCTGATCAATGCCAAATGTTCCATAACCCTTGAGTTGTAGGATGATACTGAGTTTCCTACAAAAAGAAGCCCGAGTTCCCACAGATGCCATAGTTCAGTCTCCCCTGCCTGCCTGTTCTTGGGCCTGTGTAGCCATGAGACCTGTCTTTGAAATGAGGCATCTTGGAATACTGTAAATATTCGGCAGGTTTATCTACTGCGGATATTAGTTTCCCGATGGCTGCTCAAAAAGTTTTCTCGCTCTTGTGTTCTTTCTGCCTGTGTTGAACAGCACCGTATGCAGTTAAAATTTATCTGCCTGCTCAAATAGCAGTGGAATATATTTCTTCTAAACTACCTTTCTTGGAAAGCCTTGATTTTATCTCCATTATGTATAAGCGGGGCCTGCTTGTTGAGAGCACAGCCTTTGTTAGTATCACATTTCTGATACATCTTCATGCCCTGCTCAGTTCAGCGACAAGATGGCTTAAAATTGGAAGGTACTGTGGGGATGGATTAATCACCCTGTATTGTCCTGAAGAGAGTCATGCGGAATCTTTCCAGTGAGATCATGGATTAATTAGCAGGGAAAGAAAAGGAGCATTCCCATTTATACAGAACACTCTTTGGGGAACATATGGTCCTCAGCGATGAGCTAAATGTTAAGAGCGTGTGCTTTATGTCTGTGAAACAAAAGCCAGGAAATACTATTTTTAAAAAAATTGTCTAGGCAGTATTGAAATTGAAAAACTTTTTTAAAAATGAAGACATTCTACAGCTATTGACAGCTTATATGGTGTATCCAGAGATACCTGGCACACCTCTCTAGTGGGTTTTTAAATGAACATGTGTCATTCTCAAACGTTATTTGAAGACTATTTCTTGCTATATTATTTATTGTTTACTAACTTGTGAATTGCCTGCCACATAGATCTCCCAAGGCAATTTACAGACATACATCATATGACTCTTATCGTTCAGGCTTCAGTCCCGGACATACGTGCCGTTGAACACAGTTGGAATTCATTCCAAGGAAATATGTTGAATTCCTCCCAACTTTGGTTGGAAATTGTTTTCTGGGGCTCTTAAAAGCCTTCCTCCAAAGGAGAGGTTAACTCTAAGACCCATTAATCCGCCCCCCCCCCATTTTGGATTATGATCAGAGGATGCTTCCCTACCCATCTGCCCTATCTGATCCCCAAAACAACCCTCCTCTTTTCCTGGAGTGGTGTGTGCAAAAAGTGGGGAGGATGTTCTTTCCCCCTGAACATCCTAGTGACTCACTTGTAGCAGTGTAACAGTGTGTTGGGACTTGGTGGCTCATTGGAGACATAGTTCCCTCAAAGGTTCCTGCAGTATAATAATAATAATAATAATAATAATAATAATAATAATAATAATAATAATTTATACCCCACCCATATTTGGCTTCCAACTGAACATGAAAAACACAATACAGCATTAAACATTCAAAACTTCCATAAACAGGGCTGCCTTCAGATGTCTTTTAAAAGTAAGATATTTTTTTATTTCCTTGACATCTGATGGGAGGGCGTTCCACAGGGCGGGCGCCACTACCGAGAAGGCCCTCTGCCTGGTTCCCTGTAACTTCCCTTCTCGCAGTGAGGGAACTGCCAGAAGATCATTGGCGCTGGACCTCAGTGAACGATGGGGGTGTAGACGCTCCCAAAGTATAGTTATTTGGGGGAGGATTCCTAATGTGTGCAAATCTAGGAGGAACGATGCACAAAGGTGAAACTTAGGAAGATAAGTACAAGAACAGAAGGGAGGGGAAGGGATAACATTAAAATGTATTGGACAGGACTCAGACATAACCTGTATTGCTGTCTCATTGTTTTCAGTAGCTGCTGTCTGGCTTCAGTTCTTATAATAAATTTATTTCTCATTGTAGACCTGCATTTGCACCGCGCCACCATTAAAAAAGTTATATGTCTGCTGAGCCACCACCACAGCTTAACTTCAAGCTGGCACAACTTCTGTTCTGGGAATGAAAAATGTTGGATGTATGTGAGCTTCACGCCCACCCAAATATTTAGTATAAAGGGTTGACCTAGTACAAAGTACAGTCCGCCTCCCTTGTTGTCTTTTACCCCAGCCATTTTTGCAGAGGGTGTTGGTATCAAGGAATTAGGGAAGGGGGCTAAATTGACAACACTGATGTATTTCATTTCGAAGTAAGTTTTGAATCTAACCCATGCTTGTGTCTGTATTCTTGCTGTGGACAAGCAGAAGGCTGTGAAAGATGCATTAGGAAGAGTCAAGTGCAGAGGGCTAGAATCACTGGCTGCATAGCTGTTGCACATGATGGAACTGTTGATGGAATTGCTGAAGTGGGGGGGGGGCAAATTCCAGTCAAACTCATTGACTGGAACTATGTAAAGTCATATTGAATTTAGAAGGATGCTTGCTAAGTTGAGTTTGTTTTATGATGTTTTACATCCAGTCTGCGATGGGGTTGTCTGTCCAGTATGCTAATTCTTGTTACTTCCAGCTGAGTTAAAGTACAAGCTTATTAGATCAGCGTAGGCCTTATGTCTCTTCAAGGCATGCTTCATGTCTGTGGAATCTTATATGAATGCCAAAGTGCCTGTTAAATCTTAATTTTGGGATTAATACCTCATACAGCTATATTGCAAAATGATCTGCTGCTGAGCCCCATGGCGGTTTCTAAATGCAATTAGATTTGGCTGAGGGATTTTCTTTTACTTCACATTTCAATCATTGCGGCCTGTTTTAGTATCAAACCCTGATGACTAACTGGTGGTCAGTAAGGTTGCTCCGTAATCTTACTATAACTGTTCCTATATAAAAATAGCCATGTTTTAATGTTTTGTTTGCATTTGTATTGGGCTCTTGAACATGTACTGTGTTGACTTTTGACCAAGGTGAAAAATATCTTGCTGTAAAGTCTTTCATTTCATTTTGTCATTTCACATCATGCCGTAGATTTCCTGCTTTTACACCTTAAAAGAAAGAGAAGTGATGCTGGATTGACTTCTTTGTTACAACCTAGTTCTCCTTTGAAAATAAAAGTTCTGCATAGCAAAGTACAATATAATGAACAAAACTCTGAAGGTTGATTTTGTAGGTTTTTAAGATCTAAAATTTAGCTTGGCTTCTAACAACTTGCTGCAATTGAATCCTAACATTGGTAATAGTGGGGAAATAGTTTGTATGGTTAGTAAAAGTTCTCAGGTGACGATGTTTCCTTATACCTCATGACAAATTTCCAAAATAAAACCCCATCTTTCTAAAATATTCTTTTTAGATGACAGTGCCTCTGCTGCTAGCAGCATGGAGGTGACAGACCGCATTGCTTCACTGGAGCAACGTGTTCAGATGCAGGAAGATGACATCCAGCTGCTCAAGTCTGCTCTGGCAGATGTTGTTAGGCGCTTGAACATTACTGAGGAGCAACAGGCCATGCAGAACAAGAAAGGACCTACCAAAGGTATCGATTTCAAACACTGCCTCTCAATTTCACTCCTTAGACCTGAGCAAATGTTACAATAATTTTGATATTTTTCGGACCAGTCAAGTATATTGAATCCTTGGAATTATCTGACAGCAGTTTGTGGTCTCAACTTTTCATGGTATACAGTTGATCAAACTTGCAGTTTGATTTTGAAGTGTTTAGTCTATCTGAAGCATGCTCTGGCTAGGAAAGTGTTCCTTTTCCTAAGGTACCCGACAGTGTCCTGCATAGTATATGAAGAAAGCTTGTTCAGCATTCCATATATGGAAAGACCTATGTATTTGTGGCTGCAACACTCCTGAAGGTTGACCACATCATTTTTCTTCTTTTCTGATGTCTCAGAAGGTGAGGCATGAAATACTGATAATCTAGTGTATATCCTTGTACATGCTTTGAAAAATGTATCATTTTCTGGATAAATCAGATCTATGAATGACAGTTCATTTAGCAACATTTTATTAGGTAAACTCTGTTCATTATTACTTTCTGAGCGACATCTTTGGGAAAAGAAACGGCTAAGGAGTAAACCTTACACAAATCTTGTACACCTCCTTCTGGCAACTTTTGCCGCTAAGCAGGTGTATTGCTCTGCTTTCCTTTGGACCACATCAGCGAGGCCGAAAGGGGTGTCTTGTTGTCTCCATACATACTGCCCAGGCTTGTGCCCCAGAGATTTTTAGTTGGAAAAGTCGGGCAGCTGCTTGAGAAATGAGCTGATCTCATTTACAAGGCTGGGACTGAAGGGGGCATGGCTGCTGCATCCTTCTCATGCCATCCTGTCAGCCCTGAACCACTTTATGAAGCTGGGATGATCCAAGGACCGCATTGACAAGCCGGGCTTCACCCTCCTAGGGCAGGCAGATGGCACAGTACAGCCCCACTTGGTTCCAATCAGGGTGGTGCTCTGGCAGCAGTGAGGGTTGGGCAGGTGTGGTGAGCTTTGTTCACCCTCTGCTCTGCACCCGCCCTGGCGCACATGTGCACTTGCCTGCCCTGGAATCTGGCAAACCATGCTATGCCACTGTCTAGAGCTGAGGTCTCCTGTGCAGCCCCCAGTGAAGACCCACTCCACTTCCTGCTTTCCGTGCACAGAGCACGTAGGATTGCAGTTTAAAGTTTAGGAAGCAATTTCTAAGGCTACTGACTTGCACCCTGATTGTAGACTGAAATAATCCTTATTTCTCATAATGCGAGGGAAGTGTCATAGCCCAATAGTAAAGGTTTTGCTTCGCGTGCATAAGGTCCAAGGTTCAGTTGGCAGGTAGGGCTGGGAGAAACCTTTTGGCTGAAACCCTTGAGAGCTGCTGTCAATCTCTGTAGACAGTCCTGGGCTCGATAAACCAGTGGTCTTACTCAGTGTGGGCAGCTTCAACTATGAAGACACACAGAAACATTTGTAAACTCTTTATTTTTTTCATCAGACACACTGTATACTTGTAATCCTCTATTTGATCATCTCTTTTTCTTTTTTTAACAGCAAGACCCCTTGTACAAACACTGCCTTTAAAGACTACTGTTAATAATGGAACTGTTCTACCAAAGAAACCCAGTGGCTCTCTACCTTCTCCATCAGGAACCCGAAAAGAAATTGTGTCCCCAGCAGCAAAAAGGTATTCAATATCTATCTATCTGGTGTATGTATATTACTGCCTGCCTTCAGCATCTAAAACTGCTCCTCTGAGTATTTTTTGCTCTCTGGGTGAAACTTTCAAGATAAATTTCTAGATAATTAAGCCAAATTACAATTGGAAACCTTGTAGAAATATCTTCAACTTTATTCATGCTAGATTAATTAATCGGGATTAATGTTGTTGCAAGAATTCTAAAGGAGCGCATAATTAGGCTGTTATTTTCTTTCCTCTGTAATTTGAGGTTAAGAGCAGGAAATGTCTACTTAGGGATTTTGTAGTCTATTCTGAAAATGAGTGCCTTTGTTTCTTTACCGAACCAACAAGAGTAGCAAATACGCTTGATAGGTAGCTTCTCCAGTAGTTTTCTTTCTACTGCCAAATTGTATAAAATTACGGTTCCTGTCCTTCCATTACTTTAATTTTCTGAAGTTTGCTTATTTTCATCCATGACAAGCAGTCAGCAAAGTCCCTCGAAAGCATAGTCAGATCAAAATCTCAACCCTTCCTTCCCACTGTTCCCATGTGTAAGGATACTTTTTAAAGCTCCTTTTACAATTCCCAGTCATATCTTCTAAAAGCACTTATGCTAAATTGCCACGTTGCTTGACTAGCCTCTGCCCAATATTTTAATCTGGAAATACATATATGTATAGATATATATATTTAAATGGCAAGTGACTGTAATGTTCTTTGGTTCTTGTGCCAAGCCACTTGGCAATGTGGTCGTGTTTTGAGCAGGGCTTCTTTTGGGATGACAGTAAGATATTCATAGATGAAGGATTCTCTGTGGTGGTGGTGGGGAGTTTAGGGTCTGTACAGCACAGAGATGGTATACTAACCAGAAAGTGAGCCTGCAATGTGCTGTAACAATTGCCCTGATGTAAAACGGGTGTGTGTGATTCCCCACAGGATTCAAGTTTCTTGCCAGCACAAAGGAACATGCATATGCATGTTGGTGCTTCCTTCTCTAATATGGCAGGAAATGGGAGGCAGATTCATGAGGCATGCTGTGTCTGTAAAAGCAGGAGTAGTGTTAACACACTGGACCCTCCCATCCAGTTTAACTTACCATGGGCAACGAAGTCAGATTGAGAACTCATCAGTGTAGTCATTGTGCACCTGCCATACTATGATGGAACATGTTGCAAAGTCCAGATGAGCATTGATACTCCACAAATGATGAAATAATTTTGGTAACTAATGCAGGTGCAGGCAATGCTTACACTTTCAAATCCACCTGAATCTATTAGGAGTGAGTCTCTCTGTAACCTTGCCATCATCACTTGTTTGGTACATTTTTTTTTGTCAAAGAGGCATATAAGTGTATGCTAAGAACTTTAGTTTACAGTAGACTGTAAAATGGTGCCTTCCCATCAGCCCCAGCCAGGAAGGACAACACTAGTTAAGAAAGGTTGGTTTAGAGCAGGGGTCAGCAAACTTTTTCAGCAAACTTGAGAGCCAGCATGGTGTAGTGGTTAAGAGCGGTAGTCACGTAATCTGGGGAACCGGGTTTGCTTCCCCGCTCCTCCACATGCAGCTGCTGGGTGACCTTGGGCCAGTCACACTTCTTTGAAGTCTCTCAGCCCCACTCACCTCACAGAGTGTTTGTTGTGGGGGAGGAAGGGAAAGGAGAATGTTAACCGCTTTGAGACTCCTGAAGGGGAGTGAAAGGCGGGATATCAAATCCAAACTCCTCCTCCTCTTCTTCTTCTTCTTCTTCAGCAGGGGGCTGGTCCACTGCCCCTCAGACCTTGGGGGGGCAGACTATTTTTTTTGGGGGGGGGGAATGAACAAATTCCTATGCCCCACAAATAACCCAGAGATGCGTTTTAAATAAAAGGGCACATTCTTCTCATGTAAAAACACGCTGATTCCTGGACCGTCCGTGGGCCGGATTGAGAAGGCGATTGGGCTGGATCCGGCCCCCGGGCCTTAGTTTGCCTACCCATGGTTTAGAGGAATGATAGTAGAATATACAAAGACAGATGCAGCAAAATATGCATTTCAGAAAACAACAACTTATTTTTAACTTCAGTTTTATTTATGAAGTTGTGTGTTAGCCAATACACTATTCATAATATTTTGTGTGCGCACAGTGGGATAGGAAATAACTTCAAATGGTAAAACAGAATTATTGACACTAACCTGGACAAATTCCTATAAATATCTACATCCATAAATAGCCTTTTTATATCTTAAATACAAAGATTGGAAGGAAGAGTATGTTCACCTTGCTCTGACCCTCTGAGCAGCAGCAAATGTTGTTTCCCCCTCTTTAAGAGTCAGGGAAGCTTCAGAGACTGCCGATTCAGCCATGGGGTGCAGAGCCAAAGCTAACAGCAACTCCCTGCAGCTTGTACAGATGGTGAAATAAACAAATGCATCCACTTCGCACATCATAGGGCACACCAAGGGTAAATGCTCTGTGCCTGTTAATTTGTAATATATTACATGGTCCTCCAGAATTAAGACAGCCAAACTCCTTGTGCAAAGTCCTCCACAGTTGAAGCTTTGCTATAGATTGTAACATTGAGAATACTTCCATGTTTTCAATCTTGTCTATCACAAGATTTGGAGATGAGCTCAGTGGTAGAGTACCTTGCTTTGAATACAAAAAGTTCCAGGTTCAGTTTTCCCCTGGGAAATACTTCTGGCTAAGGTGATGTTCACACAGCAATTTAAAGCGTATTTGTGCATATGTGCTTATTATTTTTTTTACATTGCCCACACAATGTTGTCCTCATCCAAGTGGCAACCTGCTCTTCTCCCCCCCCCCCCCATTTAATGTGGTAAAGGGGGGGGAGTACATCATAAACCTGCATGCTACCCAATCGAAGCACATTGTGTGGCAAGCGCTTCCCCCCCCCCCCATATGTGGTGACATTTTGCTGAGTGCCATCTGTCACTGCACCCCCTGCTTCTGCTGGCAAGGTGCTCCTTGGCTGGCTAGTGTTGGCCCTGGCACACACTACTTATGCTTTTTAATCAGCTGTTTTGTACAAGTCTGGCACGTGTGTGTGTGTGTGTGTGTGTGTGTGCAGTAGTAGTAGTAGTAATAATATATATTAGTAGTAATAATATATATTATATATATATTAATTATATATATAAAATCTTGTATTAAAAACAGCACTGTACACAGGTCCGTGTGCTTGCCTACAATGGACCTCAGGTTTCTGGAATTCTGGGAGGGCGGAACTGGATTCGTTCCGGAGCCCCATTTGCAACATGAGCAGAACGCAACCCGCGTGTGCGTGGGCAGCGATTTGCTGCTTCTGCGCATGCGCACGACGTCATTTTGCTCATCTGCGCATGTGCAAGCAGCGAAACCCGGAAGTAACCCTTTCCGGTACTTCCGGGTCACCGCGGGACGCAACCTGAAAACATTTAACCTGAAACAAATGTAACGAGGTATGATTGTAATTGAGAAGCAGGGACAACAGCACACAGTGCAAATGCGCAGCTTACCTGTGAGGATGGGAAACATTAAGGCAGAGTTCAACGGAAAGCACTTGTGTGGTCAGGCATGCACAAAAGAGCATGCAGAAAAATCAGATATGTGCAACCCAAATGTGCACTAACAGTCTGGGAGTGTTGACGTTCTGAAACCCTGGAGTGTGGCTGATAGTACTTGTGTATACAGCTGCTGATATAGTAGTAAATAATAGTTAGGTAAATGGATCAACGGTCTGACTGAGTACAAGGCCGCTTCTTATCACAGCTGATATCATATACTTTGTTTTCACTTTTGAATAATTTATCTGAATAGAGGAATGGGGAGTTGTGAAGAGCCCCATGGGTAATAATGACACTTCCTGTCGTTCCTAAATCGTTGGCTCTAGGCAAGTGTTATTAACCTCGGCTTGAATCGGTGTGGAGCTTTCATTTAGTTACCTTAGGCAGCGCAAAGGTAACTTGGCTAGAAAACATCGTTAAATCAGCAGTGGGTGGGGGGGACACCCTACAATATTTGGCGAGCTCATGCATTCTGTGTGCACGGCAGTTTTTAAGTATTCAGTTCTTATTCAAAGCTATTTAAGTGATTATCCTTACAGGTTATAAATGTTTGCAATCACAACCGTGTTTAATTACTCTGGGAGCAAGTATGTAATGAGACAACACTAAGCCTGTTTCCTTCTCTCTCTTTTGTGTGCTTGTTATGTACTGAGTTGAATAGGATCCAAACTGCAGCAGTCTGATTGGTCCTAGAACAATAGGATCCAAAAGGCAGCAGTCTGATTGGTCCTAGAACAATAGGATTCAGAATGCAGCAGTCTGATTGGTCCTAGAACAATGCAACAGTATGATTGGTTGGCAGGAACTACCCAATCATGCTCCAGATAGAAGTGAATCCACAACCTGATTGGCTTACAGTAGAATTCCGGAATTAGCCAATCATGTGCAGCCCATTGTGTAAATAATGTATATAAAGCAGATACTTTGAGGGAACTTTCATTCATTCCTCCTCACCACTATGAGCTGAATAAAGAGCATGAAATCACTTTGCGACCCTGAGTATATTTCAGTGCTGTTTGCAGGAAATGTTTATTCTGTGCTCTTAAGCACTTGGGCGTCCCTTCCCTTGTGCCATAGTCTATTGCAGGGATAGCCAACATGGTGCTTCCCGGACATTCTTGGACTACAATTCCTACCTTCCCCAGCCAACATGGCCAATATTCAGGGTTGATGGAAATTGTAGCCAACAACAACTGGAGGTCACTTGGCTGACCCACCTGTGGTCTATAACGGGACTTATGAAATGATCCTAAACTGCAGAGTAAATCTGCGGGCATGTTGGAAAGCTGAAAAACAGCTGTGGGTACCATTTCACAGAAGAAAAAGTGGGGATGCTCAGAACCACTAGCACCGCCACCCCAAAACAGACAAGGGAAAAAAACCTGCACCCACCCCAAGACAAATAAAGTGGGGGGGGGGATTAGGAGGGGCGGGAAGACCAAGATGTCTCTATTTAATACTTTAGCCTTCATTTTGTATTTCAGCCTCCTTTCAGGTTACTCAGAGTGGCATTTTAGTCTCTTAGCAATCTTGTGGGATAAGTTAACCTGAGAGATAGGGAGCTGATTAGGGTGAGCTTTGTTTGCTGCGTTCGGTTTGAATGTTTTGGGCTTGCACACAGGACATAGATTAGTAGAAGTAGAAAAAGCAGACTTTCTGCATGTCACACAATCCAGCTTTAGTGTGGAAGTGGGGGTTGCGGAGAAGGTAACATAAAGTACATGCAGCCCTCTCTGTGATGCATGTCTCTACTAAACTCTCTTTGCCAGCACCCTACACATCCCATGAGGGACGAGGGTGGCGCTGTGGGTAAAACCTCAGCGCCTAGGACTTGCCGATCGCATGGTCGGCAGTTCGAATCCCCGCGATGGGGTGAGCTCCCGTCTTTCGGTCCCAGCTCCTGCCCACCTAGCAGTTCGAAAGCACCCTTAAGTGCAAATAGATAAATAGGTACCGCTTTATAGCGGGAAGGTAAACGGCGTTTCCATGTGCTGCTCTGGTGCCAGATTGCCAGAGCAGCTTTGTCACGCTGGCCACGTGACCCGGAAGTGTCTGCGGACAGCGCTGGCCCCTGGCCTCTAGAGTGAGATGAGCGCACAACCCTAGAGTCTGTCAAGACTGGCCCGTACGGGCAGGGGTACCTTTACCTTTACTTACACACCCCATGAGTTTGTTAACCCAGTTGCAGAAAAACACAAAACTGATCTTATTCTGGTTGCGCAAGTGTGAGGAAGAAAATCGAGGCTCCAACACGGTGTCTTTACAGTATTCAAAATTATGAATTTTGTGCTTTGTATCAGGAGTGTGTGATTGCACGGGGTAGTCAGGTTGTGCAGTCTTGGGATGCCTGCTACTTTGATTGCACGTAGTTCAGGTTTCCTGAAGCATATGCATGCTCTCACACACCTACACACACCTACACCTACACACGCACACCCTAACTAGTATAGCAGCCACTTCCACATGGTGCAGTCCCAAACGTACCCTCCACATTCACACACACATGCATGCACACTCTTTCATGGCTTGGGATCAAACTATGGGGAAGCATCTGCCAGCTGCTGTGATGGAGGGGGAGGAATTTGGATGATTATACCCCTCTTCACTTATTTAGTGTGCAAAATGGGAGGGTGGGAGATGGAACATCATGTATGCCAACTTTTCCAGGTCCAGCAGGTAGGATATGTAGTTTGAGCCTTCAGCACCCCAAGAAATCACTGGATGGGTCAAATCTGCCCCGTCAATACCCTCAAGAGTGTGGCATGTGGTTCTTAGGGGAAGCTAACAGGAGTATTGCCTAAACTGGGCCAGAAAAGAAAAAGGGACAGCACTGATAACTAGAGTGATCTTAAGGAAATAATATAACTAAAGTATTCAACATAAATATGAAAGAAATTATTGTCTTCAAAGGAACCACAAAAATGTAAATAATTTCTTATGTATTTATACGAGGGGAAAAATGTGTTGGTCCACAGAGGGTCAAACTTAAAATCCCCAAAGTCATACAAATACAGCATTTGCCTCCCTCTTACTTAAATAATGTTAAATTCGAGAAGAGATGGTGGTTTATGTTCCTAGAAAACAGCACTATCAACTGTCCCTTGATATGAACTATACTGCTCATACAGAAATTTACTCAAGGTAGGGCAGATTTTCTCTTGGTTACGAAATGTTCCTCCTTTTTTTATAAAAAAAAACACCATGTCCCTGTGTGCCGTTGATTCTTTAAAAACTTACTCCTGTATATGGTTGTCCCCCTTTTCATCTCATTTCCCCCCCAGTGACCTGAATTCTATCTTTAGCTGGAATGATTGGAGAGTATTTGCTTCCTTTCTTGCCTGACGTACTGTGAAGATATTTTGAATGTCTGGCATTTCAAATAATTATACACCACCATTCATTATTTCTATGTCTGTCTGTGTGTATAACTTATACTGTCCTCCTTGTCTCTCCCCCAACCCTTTACTGCTCTAGTATTGAGTTTCCTGTCTGTCCTCCATTGATTACTGCTGGCTGTGTTCACCAGTTTTGTTGTTTTGTTTTGTTAACTTTTAAAACCAAAAGATCCTGAGATGTCTACCTACAGAAAGCATTGCTTAATGTATTAACGTGCTTTGCAAACTCTTTGTGGGGCTCTCAGAATCTTCTGCTCAAGGTGCTATGTTTATCGGTTAGCTTGAACAATCAAGGTAGCTGAACAAGGAACTTGTTAAATGATTTAGTTCCTTAATTCTGCTTCACATAATATGCAGGATTGTATATTGATTGCATGAAAAATGTATATGTCTTGTATTTTAACTTTTTTTTATATGAATGTTCTCTGTCTGTACATTCTTATTTTTACTGCATTCACTTTTATTCTGCTTTGTTTATGCACTTCTCATTCATGGATTAAGCAGGTCTGTGAGTCTTCTCAATGCATGCAAACTGAAAAAAACTGCTCTAAGGTGAGGGAATTCTTACTAGTATTGTAATATGTCATTTTCGTTAGTCCATCTGTCTCCCATCATTCATAATGAAGTTAGCATTTTGCATCACCAGTAGTATGTATTTGTAGTAATAAGTAAAATCTTGAGTAGTTGAAAGAAAGGAAAAGGAAGTTCCCATAACCAGCACTTTTCATATTACATTTTAAGGAGTATTAACTTTGTTTCCTCTGTTTCTGTACTAACGTTTCTATACTAACATTTCTTGCTTCTTGGTAAGGATTTCTTTCTGATCCGAATGCCTTTACATGCAAACATTTTATGTGCAATGAAACTCTGCTTGTTAATATAAGAATAACCTGCTGGATTAGGCCAATGGCCCATCTAATCCACCATCCTGTTCTCACAATGGCCAACTCAATGCTTGGTGGGAAATCAGTGAGCAGAACATGATCCCAAGAGCACTCTTCCTTCCTGTGGTTTCCAGCAGATGCTATTTCGAAGCATTGCTCCCTCCATTTGTGGACGTAGAACAGCAGCCATCATGGCTGGTAGCCATTGATAGCCCTCTCCTACAGAAATTTGTGCTCCTGTTGGCTTTGAAGCCGCTTTGAATCTGTTTGCGGTTTCTAGATGCAAATGTATGGGAGGTGTGCAGCCTAATCGGAACACCCAAAGGTGCCATTGCTGAGCTATCCCACAAGGGCAAAACCCGGGGAAGCTCTCTGACCAATTCTGTAAAGGTTTATCTAGTTTATATAATCTTTATTTATACCATATGTAAGGCTTTCTCAGTTCATTTGTCTGGAAACTTTTGGGTACCCAAAGAGGAATTTGACTACTACCAATCAGTATTGTGAATTGTTTTTGGAACTTCTCCCCATTTTCCAAACCAGTTTGATAAAGGAAATAACCGCTGTTCTCAAAACCGAAATCCAAAGTCCTACTGAGCTTGAAGAGTTTGTTGCATGGGTCCCTGCATTGTGGTCTCAATTGCCCTAATGAGAGCAATCTAAAGTGTTGATATATTTCAGCCAATTAACAATATGACTATGTTTCAGTGAAAGATACTGAACCACGACTGAAATATTTATGACCTTGAACCAAACCCAGTTAAATGACTTACGACACAAAACATTTAACTTGAGTTTACTTTAGGTAAAAATACTTAGAAGCATAGATCCATATGTTATATATCCTTACGTAACATGCCTGTTGACGTTGTATCAGCATGACTAGGGACGTCACCAAAAATGGCAGAAGTGAGTGCCCCTGTTCCATTGATTGCAAGTAGGTTCCAGGTGAGCTTGATTCAGTCTTCCTTTTCGTTATAAACATATTAATAACAAACAACAAGACTGAAAGTACAAAACGTTCCAAAAGAGTCAAGTCAGTTCTGTTATTTTTACAGACTACCTGTTAATGAAAAAGGCAAATGACCTGTTAAACAGAGTTTGAAGGAAACCACTCCCCCCACCTCTATAACTTCCTTTACTCAAAGAGCCAAGCAACATGTCTCTGGTGATGGGAAAGGTGATGATCAGTCCTCCAGATCCCTTGTGAGGCATACTTTCTGAAGGTCTGGAGCTGTGATAACAGATCCCAGCACCCCCAGTGGGAAAATGATGCCATGTGTATCAGTTTCTGCTGGGGAGAAGACCCTCTACACACTCACGCAGATTCTACATTTTCCCCCACGGAATCTTGGGGTGCTTTGTGTATCCCTGAGAAGGACTGAGACCAGGATGTGGTCCTATATTTGCATTTATGTTTGTAAATTATTTTTATTCCTGCTAAAAGTTATGCATCCTGAAACAGTGAAATATAAACCTCTGCATGTTTGCCCATGTTTCTTTCTTTTCTTCTTTTTTAAAAAGGATTAATAATTTCAGCTCACCATAGATCACTGTTTGGGGATTGTACTTCTGAAGAGCTTGACGTGTAGACTCAGACCAATGTATTATTTTTTATAATTGGGTATGCTTCCTTTTCTATTAGCACTGTCAAAAGAACCAACTCAGCTGAGCGTGTATCTCCTGGAGGCCGAAGGGAAAGCTATGGAGATTCCAAAATCAGCCGCAATCGAGCTGGATCCACAAGCAGTTCATCTAGTGGTAAAAAGAACAGTGAAAGGTAGGGAAGCAGCTCCTGCTATATCCACTTGGCTCTTAAGGCTAGTCACAACGTTTGGTGGTGCTGCGGTTATTAAAATACTATTAAATCCCATCTGCATGGCACTTTACAGACTTGGCAAAAGCAAAAAGACTGATCCCTTGTCACAAGAAAGTTGCAAACTACATGTTGAAAGTAGGAGGAGACAAAAATGTGGCATGGAATAAGTAGGGACAAATAGGGATGGGGGGGAATCTACTTTGGTTAGGATTTGCATTTCTCAGATTTTTGTGATGTAGTTCTCCAGCTTAAAAAAAAATGTATTTAAGGAACAAGTGTGCATAATAATGCGTATATTAGGCAAATAGCATATAAAGTGCATTATATCAGGGGAGATTGCTTGCAAAAATGTCTGTGTCAGGCAAAACGGCATAGAAAAATGGAGTACATTAGGAGAGATGTGCAATAAATGCTGATGAATTTTCATGAGGACTTTTAAAAAATTTTTTGCAAATGTGGAGATCTGGACTGGAAAAAAGCAGAAACTGAGAGAACCAAAAACTGATGGATTTGTCCATTCCTAGTGAGAAATGAGGGGGTGGGGAAGAAATGGGAAGGGCAAGGATAACCAGCAGCGAACATAAACAAACGCAGAAGAATGCAGTGCGGTGGGGGAGCCTGAATGAGCAGCAGCATTTTGCAGCATGCATAGCCCTGCGCAAACAAGCTGGCACCCCACTCCTGCCATCCTTGCTAGTCTTACCTCCATCTTCAGGGAGGGGGAAAAGCCTTGCCTTGAGGAAGGGGGAGAGGGTAGCAGCTGATAGAGGGTTCCAGTGAACCCAGGAAAGACCTGGCAGGCTTCTTTGCTGGTGGCAGATGATGATCTCATAGCATCTTTTTTTTACTGGGGATTGTTGATGCTTGTAGCCAAGCAACTATTCTTGTCAAATGCTTGCAAAACCAATTGAATTGTTTTCACTGAAAGGGCTCGATTGCTTTTCAGGGCAAGCACTTTGGTGCCTTCCCAACCCTAGTTACAGGCACCCATTCAGCAATCTTATGTGGTCTTTCATATTTAGTAGTGAACTTACCCCAGAGAAAATGTTTAGGCCACAGTTCTACAGCAGGAGGTTAAGTCAGATGCTTCAGAGATAGTTTCTGAGTTGGAGAAAGGTAGAAGTGGTACCATGCAGCTGTGTAGAGCTGAGTTCTAGGCATGTGGAGGTGCAGGGGTTGAAATTTAATAATGTAAGAGAGCAGGATACGTCTTGGCAGTTGCAGGGTGGTCCATTTGGCAAAAGGAAAGTCCCAGCCATGGATATAAAAGTGAAACGGGCAGAATTGCAGGCTGGGAAGAGCCCATGAAGAACTTCAGTAATAACGACAAAGTGCTTGCGTTAGATTCAGAAGAGGATGGGAAGCCTTTGTTTGGGGTTGAGGAGAAGCGTCACGTGGTCTCTGTGATGAGAAATGTGAATGATTTTGACAGCAGAGTTTTGAATGGAAGAGAAATCACTAGGAAGTGACAAGGGAAGTCGAGAGAGAACTTTAGTTGTCAAGGCAAGGGAGCGCAAGAGCATGAACCAGAGTTTTAGCTGAAATGATGGCGAGGAAGGAAAATATTTTTACAGTTTTGTGCACAGATGAGCAACATGACTTGGTATGATTTATAAGTTGTATTCGGTCATTCAGGGCCATGAGGCTATAATCACACGAGGGAGGAGAGTAGGGCTGTGCAATTTGCCCTGCATGTGCCCGTCGCTCTATTCTGTGAGCTGCAGACATGCTCCCCAGGGCCGAATTAGTGTTAGGGAGCGGAAAGGATGGAGGTTAAATTTGATTCAGTTCACATTTAAAGGTGAATGTACCTAATCTGCACTTTCCAAATGAATATGTGAACAGATACAGCCATTCTTAAAAAAAATAAAAATGATTTCTCTGAATTTTGCAGTGCTTTTCTCTAGCCAAGAAAGATGTCAAAAATACATGTAAGCTGTGCCTAGAAAAGCATATGTTCAGTAAAATAGCATGTAAAATAGCACGTATTGTATTTGTGAAAATTGCTATGAAAAGAAGTTTAGATTTGACAAAATTGCATACAAAAACGTGCATATTAGGAGAAATTCACACTAAAATGCTGGTGACATTTCATGATTTGTTTATTTTCAGTTGCACTGAGGTGGAAATGTTGAGGAGCAACGTTATGAGAGAAACTCTAATTGTCAGATTTTTCCATCCCTAGGGAGGGGCCAGTGTGGGACACTGGGGATGGACGGACATAGGACAAACATGTACAGCTCCATTCTCTTGCCTCATGCAGTTATAGTAGCATGATTCTGAACGGTGCAGGGGGGCAGCTGGGTACACTTTACACGGAGGGCAAAGCTGGCCAGGGGCCCCTTCTGAGTCCCGCCTTAGTCATGCCAAGAATGCCCCATGCCTTCCAGCCGTCCGGGGATTCCCACCCTGGGCCTCAGGCAAGCGGTGCACGGGCCTGCCAGAATCAAAAGCAAAGCCAGTACTTCATCCCTGCTGAACTGAATGGGTGGCAATTTTGTTTTATTCGAGATGGATGGTCATGAAGGAGAGTGGGGCTTGGGAGGAAAGATGGGCATGCAAGTCTTGTTAAAAGGATGTTTCTTGATTATTTTCACAGCAAGCCTAAGGAACCAATGTTCAGTGCAGGTAATTGTTTTGCTTTCTTTATTCTTATGTAAATGGTGTTTTCATGATGATATAACCTTTTTCTAAACATGGTTTGAATGTTTGTAGCTAGCTAGGCTTTCTACTGAGTTAACTGGTCAACAGAAATGTCAACAGAGCTCTGACTGTTAATTTCCTAAAACATGGCCTAGTCCTACTTTACAGTGATTAACAAATGGTAATTAGTAGTTTCACATTTTCTGGAAATGAACTTGATATGCTGGTTTTATCAGGTAATACTTTTCTTGTAATTTTATCTTTTTCAAGAAGCATGTACAGTGTCTTTAATTCAGTAATTAATTATGAATTTTGAGGGGTTCATTTGGGATTCAGAGTAGCATCAAACATGTACTTGTGCCTCAGTTTTAATGATCCTCACTTTAGCATCTATTGGAGGGAAGGCGAAATACAAATGTAACAAGTACATAAGTCAAAAGGGTCTGCAGGTTTGTTTGTTTTTTGTAGGCAGGTTAATCCTCCCTACAAATACAGGCACATGGGAAAGAGCCTCATTTCCGGTTACACACCCAACACACTTGCCAAAAAGCAGCACACAGCAATATTTCTGATTTGTGACCGCCCACCCAACAAAACCAAAGCTCATAGGAGAAAATGGGGTTGAGGTGGAAAGGACAGTGTTAGAGCCTGTGAATACTTTCCTTGAATCAAGCAGAATCATTCCCTAAATCAATGACAATGCTTTTCCCCCTACTTCTTAGGAGCCAATATTCGGGAGGGGGGCATACTTGTTAACATACTTCCCTGTGTTTTCTATCTATTTTGCTTTTAAAAAGAGGAGTACACGCTACTATTGTTGTATAGAAGGATTGAATGCATTCAATCTTTTGAGAGCATCAGCTACTAAGCCCCGCACTAACAATCATTTTACTACATCCAACATGTGGTAAAACCTTTCTTACCACTTGGCACAGTGAAGTAGATGTCTTTATATGAAGTCCTGATTATCCCAACTGTGAGCATCACATCTGCCGTTGCAAATAGACTAAGCAGTAATACCCACAGTCCTCCACTTTCGGCTTCTCTCGCAAGAATGGTTGCATGATGACGTGGTTCAGACATCACACCAAACCATGATTTGTTGTGATACCTGAACCAGTACCATCCGTTAAGAGTTTGGGTGTAATTCTTGACGCCTCCCTTTCCATGGAGGTGCAACAGCCAAGGCGACATTTTTCCACCTTCGCCGCATCAAGCAGTTGGTCCCTTACCTTTCCCGCCCCGACCTGGCCACAGTGATCCATGCGATGGTCACCTCCAGGCTTGACTACTGTAATTCGCTCTACGCGGGGCTGCCCTTGAAGCTGTCCCAGAAACTTCAGCGGGTGCAGAAAGCAGCAGTGAGGCTCCTCATGGGGTCTCTGCCGTGGGAGCATATTCACCCAGTGCTTTTCCAGCTGCACTGGCTCCCGGTGGAGTACAGGGTCAGATTTAAGGTGCTGGTTTTGACCTTTAAAGCCCTTCATGGCCTAGGACCCTCGTACCTATGGGACCGCCTCTCCCCGTATGCCCCACGGAGAGCCTCAGGGTCCATAAATAGCAACACCCTAGTGGTCCTAAGGAAGTTAGATTAGCTTCAACCAGAGCCAGGGCCTTTTCAACACTGGCTCCGGTCTGGTGGAACGCTCTGCTTCATGAGACCAGGGCCCTGCAGGATCTGATTTCTTTCCGCCAGGCCTGTAAGACAGAGTTGTTCCGCCTGGCCTTTGGCTTGGAGCCAATTTGATTCCCTCCCCCTCTTTCTTTTTTCTTTTTTCTTTCTCCTCCTGTGATGAGGCTGCATTTTAATATTTTAATGTTTTAATATTTTAATTGTTGTATTTTAATCTTGTTTTTAAGTTGCATTCATTCAACTTGTTTTTATTATTGCTTGTTAGCCGCCCTGAGCCCGGTCTTGGCTGGGGAGGGGGGGTATAAATAAAAATTATTATTATTATCCAAGAAACCATGTTTTTCAAGTGGCCTCCAGGCAAGAAGCATGGTTTGAAGCTGGTCGGCAAACTACAATTTGGGGAAAATATTCTGAGTTAAAAGAAAAATAGTTTGGGATATTCCTTTGTGTGCCCCCCCAGCTACTATTTGGAATAGCATCCTGATATTGTTCTGAATGGTAGGAGATGCTGGAAACCAAATAAACCCATGGCTGGTCTGTACATCTCAAACACAACTTGTCATTTGCAGTCTAAATTGCAGTTAGTGCAAACAGCAACATGTGAATCAATCTAGGGTCATCCTGTTCACTGGTAGTCTGTGGAAGATTCAGACCGCTTGCATGAACCAAAAACGGTATTCCCTGAACAGGACATCAAAGAGGACGGTTGGGGAGTCCATAGAGCAGGGATTTAGGTGAGCCTGACTGTTCTTGAATGCATCTTTATCTAGCCCTTCTATCTCTGTCTCTGTAACCACAAGGGAAGCGCCGTGTGACACATTGTAAAGGTAGGTAGGCCTCGCTTCTGAAACCTCATAGCTCTCTAAGCAATCTTATTCACAGAGCCAAAGGAGCTTGTCTCCATTGAGGCAACATGTTTCTTCTACTGCTACAACGCTAAACAAGTTCGGTTTCTTCTGACCAAAGTTCTTGCAGGGCACCTACTGGGTTGTAAGCCTTGTAGAATTTAATCCAAATGGATTTTCGCTTTGATTTTTAGTTGACCTGGTCAAATAAATGGCCAAGGAAAGAGACAAATGTTAGAGAGCTATATGGCAACACATGAATGTACCATTGTGTGATAATAGTTGCTTGGCACTTCAGCTGAGAAGCCATGTGATAGAGCCTGCACTATATAGTTTGTTTGGTTAGTCTCCTAATGTGTGCCTAAATAAGCATTTAGAGTGGCATTGCAGTGCTTGCTCACTTCCTTAATTGTCCCTGGTAAATCATAGACTTAACCTGAATTGCCAACGAGCATACAGCAGTGGCTAACAGATATTTCAGTGCTGTTAACATATTAGGTTGTTTCCATTGTGTCCCTCTGCTCGTGCAAAGACTGTTAGGTCCATCAGAGTCTTCTATGAATGGAAATAGGTGACAAGAAGCAATTTTTACTGATTTCCCCCCTTCTCTCTGCAGCTCCTTGCAAATCTGCACTAGAGGGTTTGGGGAACTCCCCCAAACAGAGTGGGAGGTGGGCCGCAGGCCAAAGGGGAAATTGGTGAAAATCACCTCCCTCCTCCTTCCATTCATGGAAGCTTCCATTGGAGCAAAGAGCCTTCCATGAGCAGAGGGATGCCAAATTAGGGTTAGGGAATGTATGATATTGGAAGTGCTTGCTGATAATTAACCTTTAACCAAGTTTTAATCGATGCACAATTGTTTTCATTGTAGCTTGTGTAAACAGATTTGTGTTGCATTTGTACAAATGGTTTATTCCTAACTAACTCCTCATTAATCCGCATCTACTAAATATTATGTGAGGCTAAGTTCTTAATCATGGTTGCTTCTATTCTCGTGGATCATATTGTTCAACAAGCCACATGTAACTAATTTTGCAGTCTCTCATGGAAGCAACTTGAGGCGTTGCTAGTTTCAACCTTTCTGCTCAGTTCTGTTTCCCAGCTGTTCCTGCAGTAGTATAAGAATACTGCAGGTGCTTTATCCAGCCTTGCTTTTAACAATTTAACAGTCTTTCACCTTTTTATATAGTGGCTTCACTTCCATTAGCCAGTATCTTCTCTTGCAGTCTGTTATTCTAAGACACTTGCCGTCTGTTGTTCTTTCTGTGTCTTTGAATACCAAAGCAAAAAAGGCTGCATAAATATTTTAAGTGATGGTGGGCATGCCACTGTCTGAATTAGCCTATCAGTATCTATGTCTGCTGCCACACACCTGTTATGAACGGGTGGTCTGGACAGTAAGTTTGGGCAGATGTTTGCCTGGAAAGGATTGTTAATCATTCCTGGCGTGTGACTGATAGCAAGGTTGTTTTGAGTTAATTGTGTGTTCTGTGGACAAGAGTTTAGTACCGTACCTTGGTATTCGACCAACTTATTTCTCGAACGTTTTGGCTTCTGAATGACGCAAATCTGGAATTGACTGTTCTGGTTTGCAAACTATTTTTGGAAGCCAAACGTCCAATGGGGCTTCCGATTGGCTGCAGGAGCTTCCTGCGGCCAATCAGAAGCCACGCTTTAGTTTCCAAACGTTTTGGAAGTCGAATGGATTCCGTTTGACTTCCAAGGTACGACTGTACCCTGATTCTAAATGCTTGTACCCATAATGTGTAATGTAGTGATCTAGTGCTACAGTGGTTGCTGCTCACCCATCTAAGCATTTACTTGCTTACATGGTAAATGTTAGGTTAGGACAGGTTGGATGCAATTAGTGGTTGTGTGCTTACGCTAAGTGGATGCATAACATTTCAGAAGAACAATACGCTAGTAAACCCAATCCTCACATTACGTGGGTGCCATGCAAATGTAGCACTGCCAGTGCCTGAGAACTTGGAAGCAGGGCATATACTACTACTCCTCCTTCTTCCCAGTGCCAAGTCCCCCCCCATCTCCTGTTGGCACTAGGGAAGGAGTAGTCAAAGTGATGCCCTCCAGATCTTTTGGACAGCAATTCCCATTAGCCCCAAGAAGCACAGCCAGTAATAGTGTGTCATGGGAGTTGTAGTCCAAAACATCTTGTGTTTGAAACCTGATGAAGATAACCATGGTTCTTCTCACCTGGCTTCCTGATTAAGAGTGGAAGCCAGGTGAGCAGAATCAGGGTTGTCATGGTTTAGATGGGGGTTGAGGACCTCCATGAACTCACAGCCTCCTGATCGTGCTTTGGAGATTGGCAGCATTACATCAGCATTGGACTTTAACATTGGCTACCCGCATTATTTTCTGATAAGTGATCTTTTGAGCTTTTGATGTGTGCTACATAGTCCATGTTTAAGGACAGGTGTGCTTTGTTTTGTTGTTGTAGGCCTAGAAATGTAGCTACCTGTAACTTTCCTGTACAGCTCGGGAACTGTCAAGTGTCCAGCTATTCATTGTGTACTTTGTTTTTCCATGTGCAGCTGTTAGCAACTTTTCGTGCTTTGAAAGAATCTCTAGCAATATGTGCAAAGTACAGCTTTGTTAAGCTTGCAGTTATGTGTTCGCTTCAACACGTTTTGTTGTTCTTCATTAAAAAAAAGAAAAGAATTAGAAGGTGTCTAGTTAAGCTTGGGTACGTTCCATATGTGCATTGCTGGTTTTAAAGAAACACTAACCACTGCAACAACTGTTAAATTGTTATTGGCAAATATGCTTATAACATGATATTGTTGTTCTGTGAATTCTGATTAAAACTACAATGACAACACATAAATTATGTTACTTTTTCCACTAAAACAAAGCCCTCCTCCTTTAAACATTAATGGTGTTTGAAAATCCTTAGCTGTACTTTTAGTAGACCTAAAATTCTCTCACTGATTTACATAATGTTATTGCTTCTGCCCTTCCATTTTCTCTATGCCCACGATTATTCCGTCTAGTAACTCTGCTGATGTCATTGACTCCAAAACTGCCCGATTTGGATGAGAGCAAGGCTGGATCCCTTGATCTGCCGATGGAGCAGCAGGAGGCAGCAAGTTCTGAACCTCGAAAAGCTTCACCAGCTGTTCGCAAGAAACCTCCTTTGGCTTTGCCATTTCCTAAAAGTCCTAGTCAGACTATCATGACATTTCCTAGATCACCTAGCTTTTTAAGCCCCATGAAGTCCCCAAGTCAGTACTTCCAGATCTGTTATTAAAGTTCCTCTGGCTGCATACTTCACTTAAAGCACCGTCGACTAGAGCATTTCTGGTGTTCAGGGTGTTTACTTAATGTCAGCAGAGTTCAGATCTGTCATTCTTTTATGTTTCTCTCTCCTTTCTCTGTGCTGTCCTTGTTGCTGCTTCTGTTTTAAAACTTAGTCGTCTTCTTCTTTCTTACATGTACCTCAGCGCAGATCTTTTATTAATTGCCTGTCCTCGTTGTGCTTCCAGTGTATCTCTAACAATATAAGCCGAGTGCAAAGTTTGTCTTTACACTAAGATGCCGTGAATGTTAAAAATTGTAGATGCTGACACCCAGATGTGTAAATATCCAATAAAAATAAATAAAAGAATTTCATGTGGCATTTTTTTATTTTATTTTTTGGTGTTAATTGTAATCTTTGGAGTTTCTTCTTCAGTATTGTAAAGAGATTTAAAGCAGAAGGGGACTTGGTGTGTATAGCTGATTATTTCAAATTTTGCTTGCCAGGGTGGGGTGGGGAACAGCATCCCCCCCCCAAATGTAACTTCAACGTTTCATTAGGCAACATATTAGTGGGCTGGGATAGAAGAATGTTGAAGTGCATGACTAATGGTGTATGTGTGTAATTCTTTCTGTCTTTTGACCTTTTTGTAGAGGAAGGATACGTTAAAATGTTTCTGCGTGGACGCCCTGTTACCATGTTCATGCCCAAAGACCAAGTGGAATCTTACAGTCTGGAAGCAAAAGCAGAACTACCAGCCAAGAGGCTAAAACTGGAATGGGTGTATCCTTTTCTTATGGCTGCATGTTAAACGTAGAAACTGCTCATTTCTTGGGTTCGGTTGTGTGTTGTTGTTGTTTTTTTGGTAATGTATCTTGGAAGGTTATTAAACATAGCGGGCATCAAGGGTTTTTTTTTAAAGCAATTACCATTTCACTTATAAAACAATCAAATGAGTATTAATAATATGAAACTTCTGCTGCACATCTTTATCCCATTAAGCAGCTCCAGGAAGGCTTCAGCTGAATGTAGCCTGAAGGTTTATGTTTAAAACCAGTTAATTATCACACAGTTAAATTAGGCACATTGCAGAAAAGTAGGGCGCTATGGTTACTAATTATAATGTACTTAAACAGCTTTTCTCTTTTACTGGCATATCAAAGGGTATTTATATGTCTCTGCAGTTTTTGAGGAGCAGAATTCTTAGAAAATACATGATGTTTTTCAGCACATCCATTTAGGTCGTATAAATACCGTCATTGCTTGGTCATATGCTACATAGAAAGACAGTTTATGCTCGTTCTCTTTTTATTTACTACTAGAATTATTTTTCAGATTCTTTCTTAAGCACACAAGTCACTGTTGGCCAGTCTTTTGAAGACAAATTAGAAGTACTGTACAGGGCCTCTATCTGTCTGTCTGTCTGTCTATCAATTTATCCATCCAAAGTTCATCTCGGCCTTCAATAAGCAAGAAACCATGTATGCTGCTGCATGATTTTAAATGTTAAATAGCATCATGTGCCAAATAGTACCATTTAACATATAGATTAACTCCCACAATTGGATTAGATCTGCCCATGATTGGCACTGGTAGTTGGAGAATGAGATTCACTGCTTTTGTATTGTTGTAGCCTCCTTCAGTTGCATCATTTAAATTATTTCAAGGCAATCTGTACAGCAGACAGAATATAGGTGAAGGCAGGTGAACAGTACATTGCAAAAGTCCTAAAGGGGAGGTATACTCACCTGTGTTGTGGTTTGGGTGATAAGTCTATAGGTACACTGTGCTAGCATTTCCCAAAGGGGTGGGCTATACCTTCTTGCTTCATAGTCTTTGTGGCTGTGCAGTTGTCCCCATTGAAGAACAGCAGCAGAATATTCCAGGCCTGAACTGCTTAAAGGTGAGGAGATCTGTTCACTGGGAAGGTCCCAGTCTCTTGTTTGAAATGGAGGTTGTCCCACCTGCAGGCTTGATGGGGGAGGGGGGGATCCTGTTTCAAATGGCAAGCTCTCCTGCCACTTGAAACCAAACCCACCTCAACCAACAGGGAGGACTCCCAGACAGCATACCTGATGTTGTACATGTCTGCTGAGATACAGCACAGAACATCTGAAGGGAAAGCCCTTCGCTCCCCAAAAAAGAAATCTGTCTCCACCAGATTCACCAGGAAATGGAACAACGGTTAGTGAACTGCGTTCAGCATCTGGCGCAAATAAACTAGTGCAGAGTCATAGAGCCTTACAGTATGGACCCAAATTATCACATCAAATGGCGCTTGCAATTTTTGAACGGCCGCTTACAAACTATTATGATCTTAACTAAGATGTCAGCTATGGCTACAGGGGTAGGGACTGCCGTAGTAACCTGTACCTCCTTCCGACGGGTGAAACCGTGTATTTCATTGCATCTGTTGTTGTGTTGTACAATGTTGAAGAGCAACTGCAGCGGCATTACACCGCTCACAATGACGATGTCAAGTGGTAAGCTGTATAGGGCATTGGCATTGATACCTTGGAAATAAAACAAGGTGGAAGAATTGAAACTACAGCGTGTCCCATTTCTCGTAAAGCAGGGGTGGGTAGAAAGTAGATTGGGATCTACTGCCAGATCTCTAGGTGGTTTGCAGAAATCTGCAACGGTTCCTAACCCCTTAATAGTCTTAATAATGGCAGTAACTTAAAAGTCCTGCCCTCCCAGTTAGATTGCTTGTGATAGGACTTGAGAGATTGGTTCTGGTATGGATCACAAATTGCTGGGCTGGGCATTTGTTCAAAGGTCCCATATTCCTTAATTTTTAGCGTATGGCCATCTCGCTGAAGCACCATTTTGCACCTGGCTCTGGCTGGTAGATTTTGGTGTTCCAGTAAAAACAAAGTAGCCTGAAGTTTGCCCACATCTGTTGTAAATACAGTCATACCTTGGTTGACAAACACCTTGACACTCATACGTTTGGGCTCCTGAACGCCGCAAACCTGGAAGTGAGTGTTCTGGTTTGTGAATGTTCTTTGGAAGCCGAACGTCTGACGCAGCTTCTGCGGCTTCCGGTTGAGTGCAGGAAGCTCCTGCAGCCAATCAGAAGCTGTGCCTTGGTTGTCGAACGTTTTCAGAAGTCGAACAGACTTCAAGAACGGATTCCATTTGACAACCAAGGTACAACTGTACTGTGCAGCAGCACAAATTTTAGGGGGGGAGCAGACAGAGTACCCACATGGGCCTCCACCTGGTGATGCTGGTGATACTGGCACCTGCCTTGTCTTAATTTTCCAACAATGCAGTGTCTAGGTAGGAATGAGAGCACAAAAGTTAAGCCATTCATACTTCTTCCATTACTCATGGAACTGATGTTGTAATGAATGGGAGATTCCTGGCTAACAGCCCACAGTTGTAGCTACTACCACCCTGGAGCTAGAGAGCAGAAAAGAATCACATCCTGGCTCCTGCCATGAGAAAGAAGACCTAGGATCACCATGAGGCTGCACTACTGCCTTCTAGGAATGAAGGCAAGGAGACCAGCCTAACCTCATCCAGGGGCCAGGGAAGGAGCCGCTTCAGGGAACTCACTTCTTGCTTTCTTCCCTGAAATAACACACTGCTCTAACTCCTGTTGTCTTGCTGTTTTCTTAGTTTTAGATTTTATGATTTATGTGGAAATTGTTTTCCATTTGGTTATGTACGGTACTTTTTGATGTTTTATTTATTGCTTATGGTTTTTGTTATGTTGATAATTATGTAAATCTTGTCATGTTGCAAACCACCTTGAGCATTGTTTTAACTATAGAAAGGCGGGATGCAAATAAAATACTGTATTTTTCGCCCTATAGGACGCACCGGCCCATAGGACGCACCTAGGTTTTTGGGGGGGGGGGATGAAGGGGAAAAAAATTATTTTCCCCCCAGGTTTGCGCAGCCATCCCCAAGCTAGAAGAGGGAGATGGAGCGCTCCGTCTCCCTCTTCTGCCTTCAGGGACAGCCTCCCTAGCCTCTGTGGGGCAGCGGCTTGCCCTGCTGTCCCCAGAGCTTGTGGGGCTGGCTATGGGGAGAAGCAAGCTTGCTTCTCCCCACCATCAGCCTCCAGATCAGGTCGGGGAATAGCGGGGTGGCGGCGCTCCACCTCCCCGCTCTCCCCCGAGCTAGTGGGGCTGGCAATGGGGAGAAGCAAGCTTGCTTCTCCCCACCCCCAGCCTCCAAACCAGGTCAGGGAATAGCGGGGTGGCGGCGCTCCACCTCCCCGCTCTCCCCCGAACTTGTGGGGCTGGCGATGGGGAGAAGCAAGCTTGCTTCTCCCCACCGCCAGCCTCCAAACCAGGTCGGGGATTAGTGGGATGGCAGCGCTTCGCTTCCCCGCTGTCCCCCGAGCTTGTGGGGTTGCCCGATATCTGCACCAATCGGGGTGCAGGCTGCTATCCGCAAGCCTAGAGAGCCCGCGGGGCTCCCCAGGCTTGCGGATAGCTTCCTGAAGCCTGGAGGGCGAGAGGGGTCCGTACGCACCGACGCCTCTCGCTCTCCAGGCTTCAGCGAAAGCCTGCATTCGCCCCATAGGACGCAAACACATTTCCCCTTCATTTTTGGAGGGGAAAAAGTGCGTCCTATAGGGCGAAAATACGGTAATGATGATGATGTTGCAGAAGCACGGGTAGCCCCTCTTATCTTTTTAGTTTATAAGTCTGGTGCATGGCTTTCCCCCTTTCTTTTTCTTTGGGCCACTTTGGGAGACAGGCATCTGAAAAGCAGGACAACAATATAGGGTTACAGCCAATTATTATTATTATTATTATTATTATTATTATTATTATTATTATTATTACTATACCCCACCCATCTGATTGGATTGCCCCAGCCACTCTGGGCAGCTTCCAACAGATATAAAAACAACTAACTTTTACTCAGAACTAGACCCATTCAAATTAATGGCCACAACTCACTTAGTTCAATAATTCCAAAAGGGAGTTGAATGCAACCCATAGTAAATAAATAAAACCCCACATCAGTTCTCATCACCAGCTTTGCATGGTTACAAGAAATGGAACAAAGAGCACTGATGCAGGCATAAATCAATAGTTTGTGCATTTAGTGTTAATATTGATTTGGTTATTGCAAGAGATTGCAGGTTGGGGACAGTGCAACTTTGAACATTTGTCATGGGAATTAAATTATCAAATTTAAATAGTTTATGAAAAGCATGTGCAAAATACTGTAATTGTTTGCACCCTCCAGTGTCTTGCGATACTTGTCTTCACACATTAGACATGGCAAGGGAGTTTGGGAATCCAAAGGGTGTATAATTATAACCTGTTTTGTTTTTACTTTGTTTTGTTATTTGTATGAGAATTGTGGAAGGGAATTTAGGCCGACTTTAGAAAAAGGTTTTAAGAATAAGCACTGATGTATAATTTATATGTTTATAAGGCAAAATTGGTTTTTTTAAAAATGAACTAAATATAAAAAGGTTAAAAATTAGGGATAAGAACTTGTCGAACCAACAATTTGAATTGGAATACAAGAGGGGGAGATGTGGGGAAGTCAGGGAAATATGTTATTGAAAATAAGGATTGTGAATTCTATGTGTTTTTAAACTTTTTTGTTTTTTGTTTTTTGATTATTTTTTAATGTAATACAGTGGAAAATTTTAATAAATATCTTTTAAAAATATCTTTAAAAAAATAAAAAAAAATAGACATGGCAAGGGCTGAAATGAGAATGTTTCCATATGCATTGCAATAAATGTTTGGGAAACCACCCAGTCCAAGGTGTTCAGAATTCTTTTAGCTTGCATTGTGAACCATGTTTGTAATATGAGATTTGACAAAGGTTTTCCCCCTCCCTCCTTCAGCCTAGCTGTCCATCCTGACAGGATCACCATAGCAACTGGTCAGGTTGCAGGAACATCTAAGGATGGGAAAGTAAGTCGGCCTATTGATCATTTTCAGAATTTTGCTTGTTAGAAATCTGTTGTTTTTATACTAACGTACTAATGTGCTAATGTATTAATACTAATAAGGAGCAAGTGTGTTAAAAGTAAACCTCCAGGATTATATGTTGGAAGGAACCAGAGCTCCAATGTAGTGGAAATGATAGAAGAAATGATGTTAGTAGGGATATATAAATGAGGATGAGTTTGGTTCCTAGTTCAGTTGCCTTTCCAACCTAAAGCAATGTCATTCTTGGGTGCTTCGTGCTTGAGTATGCATTGATTGTGAAGTTTTGATTTGGATGCTTCATACAACACGGTCTGCTGGATGCATGTATGTAAATCTGGGGCAGCTGGATGTTTATTTTGTGTCCAAAATCCAACTCCCGTTGCATATAGAAGTTTCTGGTATCAATCAATATCATTCCTGAGAACCTGCCACTTGAGAGCACTATGCGTCAAAATGAAGCCTTGAGTCAGATGTGGTGCTGTTTCACTTTGTTGGGCAGTATCTACAGGTTCTGTTGGTAAATGATTCACGGTAGTGACCTGGTCTTATTTTGAAGTGTTGTCTCAGTTTGAATGCCTTCCTTAAGGAAACACACTTTTAGTGCTCTTTTAAAACTTTCTCATTTGTCCCAGCATTTCCGATGATAATATTTACCAGAACTGCTTTTGTTCCTCAATTTTATGCTATTCATTCATTCATTCATTCATTCATTCTGTTGCGTTTTTAAAAATATTGCACCTGTGTTGTACAAATTGTTCTTTCACTTTAGTACAAACACTCTTCTGATGAAGGGTGGTTATTTATTCAGGCTACCTCTGCACTTTTGAAACAAATAGGAAACTAGAAACTGCAAATAAGGCACCAGGAACTACTTCAGGATCATAAAATGTAAGGGCAGAATGAATGACATAAAAAAGCGGAACGCTTTGGAGAAAAGCACGAGCTTGATAGAGGAAATGTAATAAGAATACAAGGCCTATCTAGCAATCCAGCTTCCTGTCTGTGTAGTGGGAAGCTTGCAAGGCTGTGGGAAACTTGCAAGCAGAACCTGAATACTTATAATTGCCAGGCATAAATGTCACCATTTGATGGTACTAAAATATAGAATTTCCTTTTCCATTAGCTTTCTAGTTATGATGGTTGTATACAACTCCAGGATCAGAGGCAGCATAGCCCCTGAATGCCAGTCACTGTGGGTGCAGCACCCAGAGAGAACCTTGCTGCCTGTCATTTCCCCAAAGACATCTGGTTGGCCACAGTAGGAAACAGAATGTTGCACTAGATATGCCTTTGTTCTAATCTAGCAGGGCTCTTCTTATGCCCTTGCTAAAAACACTAGAGCAAATATTACAGTTATCGTGGTTGTAATGGAAAGTGCGAAAGGATCTGTATGAAAGACTATCGACCTTGGCCATTTTCAATAAGAATATTTATTATTACTTTTAATTCCTTGAACTAGTAAGGTTCAGTGGTTGCAACTCTTTATTTTTTATTGCTCATTAAAGACTGCAGATAATGGAAATGCAATTCTTATTTTCTTGTTTATTTCAACATGTTAACCTCAATAAAGTGATTTCTTTAAATCTTCCAAAGGATTCTCCCTGCAGAGATCTTTATTGATAAAAAGACCAAGAACAATTCTGGCTAATCCTTTTAGTGTTTATTCAGACTTTGTGTGAATAGATTTTCTTGCTTATAGACAGAACTGCCCCTCTGCAACTTGGGACTGCAGTCATCAATAGGCAAATACTGTCTGTCAGTTGGCCATGTGTTTTGCTGTTTTAAAGATTTGCAAAGATTGCTCTCTAGCGTTCTAACTCTGCATTGCAGACGTTATATAATCCTGTCAAACTCCATTAGCTGTCACTGAAGGGAGCACCAAATGCAAGTTGGATAGGCTGTGCATTAGTTATAAATTGGAAGCGTTATAAGACCTGTCTGTTTCATCTGACTTTTAGAGGGCAGAGTGAAGCTGTCAGAAGGTTAAATCTTTTTGTAATGTATTGGACCATTTTGGAAGTTTCGTATGGTTTTGTAGTTGAATCATACTCCTAACTTTCTGGGAACAGCAGGCGTGCGCCTCGCCCCCAATAATTCCAGGATGGAATCTCTAAAATGCTTCACGTGTACGTAGGGAATTGATCTTTCCAGATTTTTTCCGGTGTGACCTGACCTAATCCACATCTCCTAGACTAGTGTGCAGCTTGAACCACGGCTTTTATTGGGTTTGTACCTCTCTGTACGCTGTGACACAGTTCTTGGCTAAAAAAAATATCAAAACACATTCAAAAATTATATATTTTAAGAGAAAATTAGAAAGGAGTCGAAACAGAATGGAAGGAACTTACACTTGCAAAAGTGACATGGACTAGAAATAGAGTAAAATGCCCATCTGCACGTCAGTGTCCCAGTAACCCCGACAACCACACTATACGTTAGACCACTATTACCCCTATATTGCAGATGAGAGGCAGAGGCTGAAAGAGAATTGGACCTTTTCTCCTGTATGTTTGTGTTTCCATGAACGGAAGATGTTAAATATGGCTAAGATGCATTTGCAGGTATTTTCACATACTCTGATTATACTCAGATTCCTGCCCCACCCCAGCCCCAAATCTAACTGCAGCTGTTGCTTATTGTTTGTTCCATTTCTGCAGCAACTCCTGCCCCATGTCCGCATTTGGGACTCTGTTACTCTGAACACGCTGCATGTCATTGGGATGGGGTTCTTTGACCGGGCTGTCACTTGCATTGCATTTTCCAAATCGGTAAGTGGTATCTCTTTATGTATTGTTGATGCACTTTTTGCCGTATTTACAGTTCTAAAACCTATTGCCATAACTCAATGGGACAGTTTCCTCTGTAAGCAAATGCTATTCACTTCTGTGTTAGGTTGTCCCCAGTGGAATGCACCAAATATTATTTTACTAGATTCTAGTTTTGCTGAGATAGTTTTGCTTCAGTGAAATCTTTTTCTTAGGCAAGAAGGGTTTAAACAAACAAACAAACAAACAAACAAACAAACAAACAAACAAAAAAGGAATTCCTAAACATCATTTTTACTGCTTCTACAAGTGGAATTTTGATTTGCTTGCTGCAGATCTGTCTGTCTGAATTTGTGACCAAGAAGTCTGCTCATTCCTCCCCTTTCTCCCCTTTAGTTTAGGACCAAACTAGTTGTAATAGAACAGCAGAAGGCCTTCTTGGGACACCCTCCCATCAGATGTCAAAGAGATAACCAATTGCATGACTTTCTGAAGACATCTGAAGGCAGCCCTGTATTAATAAGTTTTTAATGCTTGATGTTTTGTTGTGTTTTTATGTTGGAAGCCACCCAGAGTAGCTGGGGCAACCCAGTCCAATGGGTTGATTATAGTTGTTGTTATTATTATTATTATTATTTAATTATTATTGTATTTTTGCTAAACAATTTTTTGTATATTTTCCTCAAACCTGCCAATAACACATCTTCTGTGTGGATGATGCTGTTTTGGTTTCATAAGGACTGGCTCGTAGAAAACTGCCTTTCCAGTTAGAATCTGTGGTGATATTAAATCGCTTTTTGGTGCATTCTTCCAGTGAGATATTTCATGTTTTATTTCAGAATGGAGGGAGTAACCTTTGTTCAGTGGATGACTCCAACGACCATGTGCTTTCAGTGTGGGACTGGCAGAGAGAAGAAAAGCTAGCAGATGTCAAGGTATTTTGCAGTGAGATTGCTTTTATGCTACTTGAGACCCACCAGGTTGTTCCCTCGCTCCTACCCCATTGGTGCCATATTCAGTGTAACATCTTGTAAGCATTGCTGCTAGCCTCCGGTGTGATCCAGCAGCCTCCCATTATGTTCTTATTTGGCCTATATCTATACAGATTAATGTATTGCAAGGCACTTAACATCCTTCCGAAGTGTATGAACTTACTATTGGTGCCCTTAATGTTGTCTGTGGGCATTTTGACATGTCTGGTTTTTTTGCAAATGTTGAAATAATTTTTCCCTCCTTCTAGTGCTCTAACGAAGCCGTATTTGCCGCTGATTTTCACCCTACAGACACTAATATAATAGTTACTTGTGGGAAATCGCATCTTTATTTTTGGACGCTTGAAGGCAGTTCTCTCATTAAAAAGCAAGGCTTATTTGAGGTAACAAGTGCTTATGTTCATGGGGGTTACATACGGAAGTTACATAGAAGAAGCCTATAGCCAAAGAATGGGCTGGCTGGTTCAAATCAATGTATGAACTTTACCCGTCTTTCTCCCAGTGTTGTTGGTTTGGTCTTGTTGTCCTTCTAGTGTCACCAGGTCACAGTGCTGAAGGAGAAGCTGCCCATGGCAGGATTCATCCAACAGGGTCTACACCAGGGTTTCCCAAACTTGGGTCTCCAGCTGTTTTGGGGACTACAGTTCCCATCATCCCTGACCACTGGTCCTGCTAGCTCAGGATGATGGGAGTTGTAGTCCAAAAACAGCTTGAGACTCAAATATGAGTTGTTGCTCTCCGTTCTTGGGTAAAAGCATCACGTTACCTACTATTGCAAATATGACTCTGATTCATCACACTTGCTCTTCCTTCTTCTAGTCAAAACTTGTATATCTTTCCAGCATCTTTGAATATTGGCTGTGATGGTATCTTTATGGTGCACAACCCAATATATACCCAAGATCTCCATAGAGCCAGTTCCACAGGTCCAGTGATACTTTGTGGCTTGTGTTTCTCAAACAGCTGCAGACTGCCGTATTTTTCCGCCTATAAGATGCCCCCTATTTTGGGGGATTCAGATTTAAGAAAATGGGGAGAGATGTATCCATGTATAAGACGCCCCCCCTAATTTTTGGCATTATTTTTTAGGGGGAAACCTAGTCTTATACACAGAAAAATATGGTATTTGTCAAACTGAGAGTTCAAAAGCCACATGATTTTTAAAAGCCTTCAAAGGGAAGTGCTCAAGATCCACTGGCCATTTGCATGACTTTGGGTCTACCTATAGTTGACTGTTGAGTCCAGGCCAAGCATGTGGAATGTGATTTCTTTCCCCCATATTTTTAGGGACACAATCTGGAATGTCACTACTTTAAAATAACAACAAAACCTTACATTCCACAACCAGGTATTTTAAACACAGTTTTGATTTAAAGGGATTTCTTCAGAAAGGAAGATAGCTTTGAATGCATTATTGAACAGGTGTATTATGGCATGGATAAGGCATATGTGCAATGTATTCTATTTAATATACTTTAAGAATTTGTAAACATATGTTGATGAAATCTGTAAAACCTGCAATCTCTTGAGTGTTACTTATTTCTCTCGATTTTTATCTTGTGGTGAGCATGCAGTTTTGAAATTATCTAAATTGAATAAATAAAAATATATCGTAAATATGTTATTATAAATATACCAAATCTCTTACTGTACAGAAACAAGAAAAGCCAAAATTTGTGTTGTGTGTGACGTTTTCTGAAAACGGTGATACGATTACTGGAGACTCAAGCGGAAATATCTTAGTATGGGGAAAAGGTAAGAAGAGTAAGCTTATAAAACAGTAAATTACTACATATGACATAGATTTAACAGTTATTTCTTCTAGATTTAAGCAAGTGCTTATTTAATTTTTCCTGGAAAGAAACTGAAATAGAATTTATTCAGAATCAATTGGGGAGGTATATTCTGTGAGCGCTACTGCCCCTGCAAAAAAATATGCTACTTCTTAGTAATGGAAGGTTTGAGTGGAGCGAAAAATGTTTCCCTTTCTGAGGGAGGGGAGGAAGCATTGCCCTGACTCGGAAGCCATCTTGTGAAGTGGTTCTGGCTACGTGGCCTAATAATTACATCATGCTGGCTATGGGATTCCTGATTAGCTGGGATTATGTTGTCAGCCTTTTAATGGTGATTGGCAAAAATGGCGTTAAAATACCTGCCAAGAGGGGGTAGCAAACAGGCATGAAAAAAACAAGATGTTCAAGGAGCATTTCAGTCCCCAGAAGCAGAAAAATTTGTTATTGTTTAGTCGTTTAGTCATGTCCGACTCTTCGTGACCCCATGGACCAGAGCACGCCAGGCACTCCTGTCTTCCAATGCCTCCCGCAGTTTGGTCAAACTCATGCTGGTAGCTTCGAGAACAGAAAATAATCACCTGCAAAACATTTGACATGGTCCTAGATTGACAGCAGACACCTTGCATGTTTCAGTCTTTACTATAAACATGGTTTAACAAATTAAACAGCTAATTAAGTTCTGTGGATACATTTAAGAAATAAGCTCCAAGACTAACTGCAGCCACAAATATCTTCTGGCCAACTTAAAGCTGTTGGATTAGACGAAAGGTATCTTTCAGTGTCCACAATATTACTTATTTACTTACGTTTCTGTGGTTTATATACGGCCGTTTGCACAAGCCCCCAGGTTGGTTTACAACCAAATAAGAAAATGTGTATTAAAATACATAAAGTATATAAAATATTACAGTTCTTAAAATGCATAGCATGACAACTTTAAATAGCAGCTAATCCAATTATCTAATCAGGTCTTTCCTCCTCCAAACACCCTCTGAAACAGGTGTGTCTTAAGCAGCTGCCTTAAACTACAGGGTGAGACCAGATGAACTTCAGTAGGGAGGGAATTTCAATGTGACAAAACAGGCTTGCCGTAATAAATAAGTAACTGAATCGCCAAATAAGATATACTGCTTGGTTAATAACTTGTTTTCTTCCCATATCTAGGTACCAACAGAATAAGCTCTGCAGTTCAAGGAGCCCATGAAGGTGGCATTTTTGCACTTTGTATGTTGCGAGACGGAACGCTTGTGTCTGGAGGTGGAAAAGACAGGAAGCTAATATCTTGGAACGGGAATTACCAAAAACTTCACAAAACAGAGGTGATGTCATCAATCCTTTAAAAGCGACATCTTAGCATTTCCTGTTTGAAAAGAAAATTGTTTTGCAGCTCGAATCCTGAAAAAGCTTCTCCCCACCCTGTCAACTTCTAAAAGACACCACTGTTTCTCATGGCTAATGCCTATGTCCTCAGACTAAGAATATTATGTAATATCAGAAGGGTCATACAATATATAAATTTTGAATACTTAGATACAGATCCCAGACATTTGCCCAGCACAGTTCTCTACCTTGAAATACATAACATTGCTTGAATCATGAGAGGGAAAGGAAACAAGAAAACCCTTCAATGCAACCTCTCCTTCTTGTTCACCTCACCAAACTGATACCTTTATTTTTCTCTGCCTGCCTTCACTAAACAGCCCTGGACTGTAACTGGCCTCACATACTTCCAATACTTGGTAAAGTGGTATGGTATTTGAGTAGAAAGAATAATAGAGCCCTAAACTATCCCCCCCCCAAATACCCAATTACGCTTTTACTTAAGAGTTTTGTAGAGCAAGAAATTAAGCAGGTTTTGAGCAAATGGTTTTAAGTTACTCATAAGAGCAAATTGAAAAACCAGGTAGAGGAAAAAGCTCACCCAACCTATTCTGGACTGTTTCCTTAAATCATCCGATATTTATCAGTTTGCACCCTTCCTGGTCATCTCCTGGTTTCTTCCTTCCATAGTGCCCGTCTGTGCTTTCTTTTTAGTATTCCAGCTCTCTTATAGCATTAAGCCCCTTTTCTCTCCTTTGCAGCTCTTCAAGTGTCTGACTCCACAACCTTCTGTCTACCCCATTTTCTAGCTTATCTTATATACAAGCTAGGGTGTGTACACTCTCACCATTTACATCATAGATTCATAGGAACATGTTATCATACTGAGCCCAGGCTATTGGTCCATCTGGCTCATTGTCAACACTTACCAACAGCAGATCTGCAGGGTTCCAGCCCTGTCTGGAGATTCTGGGGATTGAACCTTAGGACCTCCTGTATGCAACGCAGATGCTCTACCGTGGAGCTACAGCCATTCCCTGGTTGCATCCAGCGTGCTCCAAACACTGGTTAGGGGAAGCAGTGTACACGCAACATCCTCCACCATCCATGCCTATCCTGTTGTTTCTTACAGAATGCTGTGGCTTGCCACCCTCAAACCAGCTTCGATCCAAATTGAGAAAAGGGGCAACCTGTCTCGTTTTAAGCTCATAATGTGTATGCAGCTTTAGCCAGTCTGTATTGTTTCAACCCTGGGACGCGGGTGGCGCTGTGGGTTAAACCACAGAGCCTAGGGCTTGCCAATCAGAAGGTCGGCGGTTCGAATCCCCGTGACGGGGTGAGCTCCCGTTGCTCAGTCCCTGCTCCTGCCAACCTAGCAGTTCGGAAGCACGCCAGAGTGCAAGTAGATAAATAGGTACCACTTCGGCGGGAAGGTAAACGGGGTTTCTGTACGCTGCTCTGGTTCGCCAGAAGCGGCTTAGTCATGCTGGCCACATGACCCGGAAACTGTCTGCGGACAAGCGCCGGCTCCTCGGCCTATAGAGCGAGATGAGCGCCGCAACCCCAGAGTCGGTCACGACTGGACTTAATGGTCAGGGGTCCCTTTACCTTTTATTGTTTCAACCATGGGTTTCGCAACAGAGAACAAGGTGTAAAATAAAATAGTAATGACAGCAAAGGAGAATATTGGCCTGGAGGGTGGGTAGCTCAGTGGGTAGAGCATGAGCCTCATAATCTCATAAACTCAAGCCCCATGTTAGGCAAAAGAATCAAGCCTTGCAGGGGGTTGGACTAGATGACCCTCATGGTCCCTTCCAACTGTATGATTCTGTGAAGAGGAACAAGGAGCAGGAAGTGATGGCAAACCCGCTGCTGAGTGACTCAAGTGTTCAGATGAATTACTGAATAAAAATGAAAACCACTACTTTTGTGCAACACTAGCACAAGGCACTTTTCTTAAGTGTCTCATTGGAGGAGGGAAATGGCCGTTACACAACAACAAACTGTGCAAAGAAAACAAGAGATACCTTTCGTAGAATTGTAAAACTGGAAGGTACCCCAAGGGTTATCCCTTGTGATGCAGGAATCTCAGCTAATGTATCCATGGCAGATAGCCATCCAACCTCTGCTTAAAAACCTCCAACGAGAGTCCACCACCTTCCGAGGAAAGCACTGTAGAAAATGTACACTTGAGGGGGGAAACTACATGCCAGCTTGATTAACCAATATGCTTTTGAATTTTGAAAATAGATTCCAGAGCAATTTGGGCCAATAAGAACAATAGCAGAAGGGAAAGGTGACGTTGTGTTAATCGGCACCACTCGAAATTTTGTTCTACAAGGTTCCCTCTCGGGAGACTTTTCTCCCATTACCCAGGTAAGTACTTCTTTGAGCCCATTCCTTCTTGAGACCAAAGTTTTTAAAAGACAAAATCATAGCGTTCATTTTTTAAAAATCTGAATTATAAGAGGTTCCTTGATCTCTACTCCGGAGGAGCTGAGAGCTTGCTGAATGCGTAATTGCTGCTGTCGCATGACGTACGAAAGGGGAGGTGGACAGGACGCTGTCCCTCAAAGCTTACGAACTCAGTTTGGGTAGTAGAGAAGGAAAGGGGAGAGGAGAAGGGCAATGGGGCAAATATCAATAAGCGAAGTTACATCCACATAGGTTTCATTTCAGTTGCGAGTGAAAATATAAAAGTTAAGCAAAGCTATTAATGAAAAAGAGGAACCAGAAGTGGGATTTGAAGGAAGAGGGAGAAGGATTCTATATGTCCCGTCCCCCCATTATTACCAATAAAATATTAGAGAAACTCACAGTGTTCTGTTGTTCATGTTCTGATGAAACATTGCTGTATTTATTAAGGGTCATACTGATGAGCTTTGGGGACTAACAGCCCATCCTTCCAAACCTCAGTTCTTCACTTGTGGGCAAGACAAACACATTACACTCTGGGATGCCATCAGTCACCGTCCGATCTGGAACAAAATTATAGAGGTATGATATCCTTTTTTCATAACCCCACCACCACCTTTAACAACCACAGTGGCAGTGTTCAGACATCAAGGTAAACTGTCGTTAACGGTTTACTGTGCACAAGCTGATCGTGCGCCCCCCTTCACGTCTTCTATTTTGCTAGTACTGGAGAGCAACGTCGCAATTCCTGGTTTAGTTTAACCTCTGAAGCAGGGAACATGGATGCTTTAGCTTGGATGTAACAGGAAGTCAGAGCTTGAGGGGGAAACAAACCATTAACAGTGTCTTAGCATGGCAAGGATACAGTTTTGCCTACAAAACCTACAAATAGGGATTTATACTGGTCCTTGAATGAGTAAAGGTAAAGGGACCCCTGACCATTAGGTCCAGTCATGACCGACTCTGGGTTTGCAGTGCTCATCTCGCTTTATTGACCAAGGGAGCCGGCGTACAGCTTCCGGGTCATGTGGCCAGCATGGCGAACCAGAGCAGTGTACGGAAACGCCATTTACCTTCCCGCCGGAGCAGTACCTATTTGTCTATTTGCACTTTGACGTGCTTTCGAACTGCTAGGTTGGCAGGAGCAGGGACCGAGTAACGGGAGCTCACCCCGTCACAGGGATTCAAACCGCCGACCTTCTGATCGGCAAGTCCTAGGCTCTGTGGTTTAACCCATCCTGATTGTCAAAAACTAAATAAGACTCTGATCTAAACTTGTAGAAAAGGTACTCTGATATTAAGGTTCTTTGGGAGAAGTGGAAATGGAAATAATGTTGCGGTATTGCTTAGGCTTGTCAGTTCCCATTTAAGAACTTAAATCTTGCTTTTTGAACTTACTCTTCAGAATGCAGAATTATATTGGTTTTATACCAAGTTAATAGTCCTGACTTCCCCCAAAGAATCTTGAGAATGGTAGCTTGCTGATAATTTTCTATCACAAGCCTCTACTGCACCTTCTCACAGTTGGCTTAGCAAAGGGAATCTGTAGCTGAGCTGCCCCCTCAGCAATGTCGCTCGGTGTCAGAAAGACTGGAACGAGGTGGCTCATTTGTTTCCCCCAGCAATAATGGCTTCTGCCCCTGTCTGCTTGCGTAGTCTACTTGACCGCTTGGAGCAATAGCCAAACGCAGTTCAAGCAAATATCACGTTACTGGCAATGAGTCTGATGACACGGATGAGTTTTTATTTCAAGAATGGTATGCTTCAACTTGAGAGACTCTTAACATTTGAAATCCCATCCAGTGCAGCACTGTACAGGCATTCCTCCAAGCTGGATATACCTGCTGAGCCTTGGTCATTTCTGAAGTTACATTTCAGCCCGCTAATGGTAAATTTCAGTTTGGCAAATCTCAGGGTGACCTTCCATAGTCTATGATGAATCAACTGCTTTTGCAGATGAGAAATTATCTGATCAATTATGGTTTGGTAAAAGGTAAAGGTACCCCTGCCCGTACGGGCCAGTCTTGACAGACTCTGGGGTTGTGCGCCCATCTCACTTAAGAGGCCAGGGGCCAGCGCTGTCCGGAGACACTTCCGGGTCACGTGGCCAGCGTGACAAAGCTGCATCTGGCGAGCCAGAGCCGCACACGGAAACGCTGTTTACCTTCCCACCAGTAAGCGGTCCCTATTTATCTACTTGCACCTGGGGGTGCTTTCGAACTGCTAGGTTGGCAGGCGCTGGGACCGAGCAACGAGAGCGCACCCCGCCGCGGGGATTCGAACTGCCGACCTTTCGATCGGCAAGCCCTAGGCGCTGAGGCTTTTACCCACAGCGCCACCCGCGTCCCTTATTGGTGCCTGGATGCTAATAAATTGGTCTGCTCCAAAACTGATCAGTCTTGCATTGGGACAAAGGTGGGAATAATATTTCTGTTGTGAAATAATGGTGGTTGTTAGGTATGGTGTTGTACCTCATGCTCACTGACCAAGCTCATTCCTCACTGGGCTGTTTTGAGGGTCGGGGGTGCCCCTGAAGTTTGTTTGTTTTCCTCCTGAACATATTTTGCACTTCTGTAAACCTTGGGGTTCCTGTGCATCTGCTGATCGTATATACTGTAAATATTAAGTGGGCATGTTTTGGAGATAACCCAGCACTTAAACACTGTCAGTACACTGATGGAACAACAATATAACAGAATAAAAGCTCTCAACTCTCAAAGCGTTTTGAAACCTCCACTGCAGTCTGCTTCCCAAGTCAGTCACTTTTTAAAAGAAGGAAGCATTTCTTTTCTTAAATGGCAGATTTCCTAAAAGATGTTCTCATTTTTGAAAACAGTTCTACTACTATTACTATTACTATCACCAATAATGACCATAATATTCTGGTCGCTTTATGCAAAAGTCTCTTAAGCGAATTAACAAAAGCAAAGCAATGAAATCAATTAAAATACACTACACTTTGTTGTTATTGCTAGCCATTAGATCTCCTGCCTGCCCTTCTCCATAACCTTCACCCAGGGCAGGTTACAACAACGGAAACAGTGCAATTTAAAACAAACTAAAGCTATCCAACTATTAGCCAAGGGCTTTTCATCCCAATGTATTACATATTGTGTATATTACATATTGTGTATACACAGGCAGAGAGCCTTCTTGGTAGTGGCGCCCTCCCTGTGGAACGCCCTCCCTTCAGATGTCAAGGAGATAAAGAATTACACAACTTTTAGAAGACATTGTTATTGTTTGTTTGTTTGTTTGTTTGTTTGTTTTTATTCATTGGGTGATTTCTGTAGCACTTAATATCTAAAAATATCTCGTGAGTTGGTGTACAGAAAACTAAAACAGCAACAGCAAGATAGTACAAAAAATGCAAGTTGGTAATAAATAAATACGGCTAAATTCCTTCTTCCGACACATTTCCCCACTCAACATCTCTCAGTCTCCTGGCTCTCACCCTCAGGCTGCCCACAGCTGTGTCCCACCAGCTGCATTGCACACACCCAGTTTCAGGCTACAGCAGGTTGGAAATTTTGTGAATTTACCAGAGGCTCCCAAATTGGACTCTCCTCCACTCTCAGTTCTTTCTCTGGCCTCTGCACAGGTCTCCTCTTCCAGCTGCTTATATATATATATATATATATATATATATATATATATATATATATAGGATGCCACATCTGTGTATTTCTTTATATATCTAAAATATATTACATAATTCATGTCTGAGTGTGTATTAAACATATACATTGTACAATAATAATATTTCTTTACACCATCATATTTCGGTTTTAAAAAATAGGTTAGGTTTTTGTTCAGATTCCCCATCCCAGACGCAAAACAGCCTTTGGCATTTGACTTGGTAACACTGAGGCTCAGCTTCTGCATATAGCAAGGGTACAGACCATGCCTGCTCTTGTATAAGCCCCACTCCTTTCAAAGAGGACTCACAGGTGAAGTGCCTGGTACAGTGAGCTCTTTGAAACTTAACCATTCCAATATGCATTATTGTTACAGATTGCTATAACTGTTGCTGTAAATATGCAATTTCTTTGAAACTTCACAGGATCCAGCACAGTCTTCTGGTTTCCATCCTTCAGGGTCCGTGGTTGCAGTAGGAACCCTAACTGGAAGGTAAGAATAAGAAAAACAGGGGAACTTGCTTTGGGGGTAGTGGGCATTCGTAAACCCTGGATGCATATTCATATAACCCCCTCATGCAGGCGTGCAGTGAAACTTTTCAAAGGGGAACAGTGAGAGCAAGATGCGCCAGCTTGCGAGCCAGATGGGACAGTGTCGCACGTGTGAACACCACGCCTCTCTTGCTAAACCAGGCAAAAGCTTCCTGGGCTTTGGGAAGGAGGCGCCAGGCTTTAATATTTTAATACTCTAATTTACCGGGAACATTTAGGGGACTAGCTTAATCCCCCTAATCCACTGACTGCACACCACTGCCCTCATGGGGACAGCCTTCATAATTTTTCATCGAAAAAGTTCTCCTCTTCCTAATGTCCATCCACTACTTGAAGTCTTTTATTTCCTGGAGAAATATGCAAAGGATAGAACAGAATGACTCAGAAACGGAGTTCCCATCGTCAAAGTCCACTTCCTGTCTGCCCCGTCTCCCTGGCGTCTTTCTGGGAATTTTTCCCATACAAATTACCAGAATTTGAAGAGCGTACTTGGCATAAGACGTTTGTGATGCTTTGGAGAGTAATCTAGTATAGCATTCATATGCTACATGTTTTTAGCAAGCAAGGCTAAAACTGCCAAGCTTCCCCAATATTGCATTTGGAAATTGACATACGTTCATTATATGAAGCACTGGAGACTTTTCCACCCCATAGGGTCTTAGTACAAGGTGTGAAGTGTTTTGCCTTTGTAAAAGGCAAATATTCCACACCAGCAAAATATTTCCCATGGGTCAGATGTTGTTAATCCTGACCGTCTCAAAGCTGTAGTGAGCTACAGTTTAATAACATTTGATAATATATTTCAATGCTATAATGATGAAAACGCTTCTTGTTTATCTTCTGCTTTATATTTGTCACAAACAAAGCCATCTCGCCTTTCGTTGTTCAGTTTCTGGTCCCCACACAAAGCTACTGTTCGGATATGGAGAATGGTTTGGTGAGGGCAGTGGGCTAAGGCGTGGCATGATCAAGGTTAATAAAAGATACACATGGTTTGCAGAAAGACATGTTTGTCTCGCTTCTCATAATACTTGGAACTTGAGTTCGTTCAGTAAAATGTATCCACAATGGATTCAGGACAGGTATGGTGCCTGCTTATCCCATCATCCCTATCTCTGCCCACTCTAGCCTTCCTGCATAATAATAATAATAATAATAATAATAATAATAATAATAATAAATAAAATAAATTTATTATTTATACCCTGCCCATCTGGCTGGGCTTCCCCAGCCACTCTGGGTGGCTTCCAACCAAATATTAAAATACAGTAATACATCAAATATTAAAAGCTTCCCTAAACAGGGCTGCCCTTAGATGCCTTCTAAAAGTTTGGTAGTTGTTGTTCTCTTTGACATCTGGTGGGAGAGCGTTCCACAAGGCGGGTGCCACTACTGAGAAGGCCTTCTGCCTGGTTCCCTGTAACTTACTTGGCTTCTCGCAGTGAGGGAACCACCAGAAGGCCCTCGGCGCTAAACCTCAGTGTCCGGGTAGAACGATGGGGGTGGAGACGCTCCTTCAGATATACTGGACCGCGGCCGTTTAGGGCTTTAAAGGTCAGCACCAACACTTTGAATTGTGCTCGGAAACGTACTGGGAGCTGATGTAGGTCTTTCAAGACCAGTGTTATGTGGTCGCGGCGGCTGCTCCCAGTCACCAGTCTAGCTGCTGCATTCTGGATTAGTTGTAGTTTCCGGATCACCTTCAAAGGTAGCCCCACGTAGAGCGCATTGCAGTAGTCCAAGCGGGAGATAACTAGAGCATGCACTACTCTGGCGAGACAGTTCACGGGCAGGTAGGGTCTCAGCCTACGTACCAGATGGAGCTGGTAAACAGCTGCCCAGGACACAGAATTGACCTGCGCCTCCATGGACAGCTGTGAGTCCAGAATGACTCCCAGGCTGTGCACCTGGTCCTTCAGGGGCACAGTTACCCCATTCAGGACCAGGGAGTCCTCCACACCTGCCCGCATTGAGGGGAAAGTACGGAAAGGGGCTTCTGCTGTTCAGCTGAACATGCTTAGATGCCTCTCTTTCGTTGGAAACTCTGTGAATTAGATCAGAATCAGAGACGGACCCTTTGTCTTATCCAGCAGGGTTGTTGCTATGTTTCTTTGTACTGGGATCCCTGACTGCCCCACTTCACAGGTTCTATCTTATACGGCTTGTTGACTTTTCCTCCCACTGTTTTCAACAGGTGGTTTGTGTTTGACACCGAAACAAAAGATTTGGTCACCGTACATACAGACGGAAATGAACAGCTCTCCACAATGCGTTACTCGCCAGGTTTGGCATTCTTTGTTCAGCTGTTTGAACAACAACAACAAAAGGGCCCTGAATACTGTATAAAAAAGTGTTTGTCAATCCCTAAATATCGCAGTCTTATATTTTATGCTTTTGCTGTCAGCGTATTTAATCACTGGAGATAAAAAGGTGCATAGCTTAATGATGGATTCATTTTTAAATCTTAGCTTTCTTGAATAGAAAAATTGAAGCCTACTTTGGTCCAGCTCAAGTGACCTGCGGGTCCCTTAATTTGCCAAATTACAGGAGCAGTTTTTAATATGGCAAAGGCGCCATGAGTTGACCTTTTCAGTCAGCTCGCTTAATTTTAGTGTGGTGCCAGGATGCAGCTCATGCATTGTGTTTAAGAATACATTTGAAAAGCACGTGAATTGTGTACCGTGTCACAGTGTCGGTGTACAGAAAGAGAAATTTGTTTAAGGCTTCAGGGGAAAGTATTCCATCTTGTGCTATATTCCATGTTATTGTCACCAAAAGTATAAATTTATATTCTGCCTAATCGCCCTGACAGGGTCCTTAACACAAAACATGAACTAAAACTCCCATGTGTAAAACAGATCAAAATCCCAATTAAATTAATTTCATGGCTAATATTAGCAAAAAATAATAATCATAAAATGGCAGCATAGAACAAATTAATAATGTATTTAATGGGTTTTTTTAAATTTTTGATCCACCTTGGAATTTTCTATGAAAGGCAGTATTAAAACACATTAATTAATTAATACATCAGTCACCTCAGCCCACGATTTGAAAGGCTTCCTGAGACAGCTTATATAGAGAATCCCACAACACAGATTCTGCCACTGAAAGAGTCCTGCTTTTTATAGATACTGGTATAAAGGCCAGGCTGTGGCACCTGAAACAGAGCTTTCTCAAATTCTTTCTTTTAAGCCCATGTGGAGAGGTACATACGGGAAAGGGCAGCCTTGCCACTATCCTGGTCCATGTACTCCCCCTCAAAAAAAATATCCTATAAAATTCATGTAAATACAACAATTTCAAATGTTCCTTAAAATGCTTGGTTGGGACCAGAAAGAGGACATTTCTGTGGCTGTGCCTAGGCTCTGAAATTGCCTCCCAAGAGTGATATGTCATTCCTCTTCCAGGAGCTAGTGGAAACTTTATTTTAAGAAGGCTTTCGGCTTGTAGATACGTGTCTTACAATACTGGTTTTAACCAACCTCACCCAATCTGGTAGCCCAAAATATCTAGAGGCCACAACTCCCATCCAACACAGCCAGTATGAGGTGATAGGAGCTGTAGTCCAAACTTCTTCACTTACTACTAATAACTTCTGATGCCGCTAATACTGTATTGTTGATTTTCTGATGCTGCACATAGTATTTTAAGTACCGGTATTTTGGTAGCTGATGTTTTAGATTATTAATCTTTTGTTATTAGACTTTTGTGAGGAAATGTAGGGTGCAGATGTTTTCAGTCAGGGATAGGAAACATGTGGTCCTTCAGAGGTTGTTGGATTCCAGCTTGCAATTCTACAGCTGGAAGTTCAGAGCAGTAGCATTAAATACAGCAACATCTCTAGGTCCACAGGTTCTCCATCCCTGTTTTGAATAAATAAACAAGGAAGTAGTTTTGCATTTAATCTTATTACTGAAATTCCAGTCTGAGGGGTGTTGCCTCTTCCTAATCAGTGTGATTTCAGCCTTATGATAAAATATGTATTCTCTTTGTTTTGCAGATGGCAACTTCTTGGCAATAGGTTCTCATGACAATTGCATTTATATATACAGTGTTAATGACAATGGGAGGAAATACAGTAGAATTGGCAAATGCTCAGTAAGTGATCACATAATTGTTTAAAAATCATCTCCAGCCTTTCCCCTTTTTTGTAAAGTTGTTTAACATTCTCTTCGTGATTTAATTTAATATCCCTAAAGGTTCGGAAATGGCAACAACCCTTTCAAACATTTATAAAATAACTTTAACAAATAATATTCTGTAGACACACTGCTCATTCTCCAATGCTAAATATTTATGCAAGCATAATTATTTCCAAAACTTGCACAATATATTCTTGTGGAAGACTATTGCGTGAGAAGTTTGGTAATATTGAAGACATCTTTTAAAAAAAAATTAAACAAAACAACAACAAAAATACACCATCTGGAAATGGATTTTGCCCTCCACCCAAAAGGATCGAGGTGCGAGAGAGCTGAGGAACACAGCACGGAAAAATTCTATCAAGGACCACACATTGGTCTGGGTAGGAAACAGCAAAATACCTACAAAAGCCTAAGGCTAAAAAAATGTGTGCAGCTCACATGCCATTCACACAGATAGAAAAATCAGTTCTGGATGACCTGCTTGCAACATAAAACTCCTGTCTGGAAGCATCCTTCATTCTTTTAGCTGCAAGAGACTAGCCTACAGCTATCTCTCTGAGAGATATGAACTGGTCTCAATTCCGTTCCAGTAAAATCACTAGCAACTGAGAGGTTGAACCTTTGACGCTTACCTAAGGAGGCTTTCTTATTCAATATACTTAGTTTACAGTCAAGATGGCTACAAGGTGGATCTATATAACAGGCAAATAAAACCTTTCTTTGACATTGATAGAGGGTCCAGAAGCTCCCAGTTCCCCTGGCAATTCCACCAGTGGAAGGATAGGGTTGTAAAAGGTAAAGGGACCCCTGACCGTTAGGTCCAGTCGTGGCCGACTCTGGGGTTGCGGCGCTCATCTCGCTTTATTGGCCAAGGGAGCCGTATCTAAATACTGATGCCTATTACGTTTTGTGTTTGATCTGTAGCCCAGACGGCATTTGAGCCGCTACATCCTCCCCTCTGGTTATATTCCATGTGAACTGAACTTTGGGAGGCATGTGGCACTATTTTCTCCCAGCCCAAAGAGCACCTGGAACGTTGGACTGGAGCCTATGGTTCCAATATGGTGACCTGGGTTGCTACCAAACACAGGTCACCCACTGCTTTGAATGTAAACAAAGCTTCAGTGTGCCTTTCCATGCAGCTTTTTATATGTGCTCCAGTGTAATTCTATTAGGGGATGTTATGTCGCTGGAATTAATATAATGCATCTCTCTCTACAGGGTCATTCCAGCTTCATTACTCACTTGGACTGGTCTGTTAATTCTCAGTACCTTGTGTCTAATTCAGGGGACTATGAAATCCTATACTGTGAGTAACAAATAGTATTTTGCCCTTGGTACAGGGTTCATGCTTGGCTGCTAATGGATTCCTAATATGAATCACAAACCACTGCAGAGCAGACATTCGTTTTTGTCTCTTAAGTTTCTTTACTGTACAAGTTAATAATCGATGTCACCCCTCTCTTTTTTTCTCTCTCTCTTGTGCTCCTCCCCTTATTTTATAGGGGTTCCGTCAGCTTGTAAACAAGTAGTAAGTGTTGAGACCACTAGAGATATAGAATGGGTTACTTACACCTGTACTTTAGGATTCCATGTTTTTGGTAAGTTAATAATAATAATAATGATGATGATGATGATGATGATGATGTTATTGTTTGTACCATGCCCATCTGGCTGGGTTCCCCCAGCCACTCTGGGTGACTTCCAGCAAAATATTAAAAAATAATGAAATGTCAGACATTAAAAACTTCCCGATACAGAGCTGCCTTCAGGTGTTTTCTAAAAGTTGTGTAATTCTTTACCTCCCTGACATCTGATGAGAGGGCATTCCACAGGGAGGGTGCCACTGCCGAGAAGGCCCTGTGCCTGGTTCATCCCAAACATTTCAGTAAAGAAGTTCTCACTCTTGTTTCAGGTGTGTGGCCAGAAGGTTCAGATGGCACAGATATCAATGCTGTCTGCCGCTCGCAGGGGAGGAAACTGTTATCGACCGGTGATGACTTTGGCAAAGTACACCTCTTCTCTTATCCATGTTCACAGTTTAGGGTAAGGTACCAGCCACGTTATCCTTGCAGTTGTAAAAAGGATTGTTTTGTAAATAGCCATCAATTAAAAGGATTAATTTTTGTAATTTGTTTTTCTTGATGTTATTGCTGCTAACCATTTTATTGGAGATTTTGGGGGAAAGTTAATCTATAATAAAACATATAATTATCATAATTAAAACTTACATGCAAGTTAACATGAAGTTTATTGACAAATTGCTTCTGATATACTGTATTTTTCCGTGTATTGGATCCCCCATGTACAGGACGCCTCCTATTTTTGGGTACCCCAAATTAGGAAATTGGGGGAAATTGCCCTGACTTGTTGAAATTTGGGGCGGGGGGGGGGAGGATTGCCCAGAGGCTAACAGCCCCACGCATCTAACAGGCCACCTATCAGCTGTTCCCTCGCCGGCAATCGCTGAGCTTGGGGGGGGGCAGAGTTGAACTTTTTTTGGGGGGGAAGAGTGGTGAAGCTTTTCCCCTCAATTACTCTTAGCACTTCTCGCCTTTCCCGCAAAGCCTCCCTACAGTATTCTGCTTGCCTCCTCCCACTCTGCCCGCCCTACAGCTGGGAGGGAGGCTGTTGGGAGTCCGTTTTTGCCGCGTGGTGTCTTCGCACGGCTCCATTTGTGCGCGTGCAGCGCGACGTTACACAGGAGTAGCGCGGCGACTGAAGTAATATCAGCAAGAGGGTTCTGGCTTCTGGGATAGCCTCTTGCTGTCCTGGCTTATGGGATAGCCACACGCAGCCTCTCCCAGCCAGGGGGATGAAGGCTCCCCCAAGAGCATGTGTGCGGTGGAGTATGTGTGGGGCTCTTGGGGCTCCACACGGCTCTTTAAAGGGAGCGCTGAGCAGAGCCTCCCGCCTGCATTTGCGCTATAAGACGCACACACATTTCCCCTTACTTTTTAGGAGGGGAAAAGTGCGTTTTATAGAGCGAAAAATACAGTATTTATATATTTACTTGCTATATTCCGTGGATAAGATGACACACTTTTAGACCTAAAAAATTGGGTGAAAAACCTTGTCTTATAGACGAAAAAATATGGTACATGCCCCCCCAACCCACCAAACCCAATAAGACATTATCGCTTCAGTTGCTCTTCAAAATCATGCTCTAGCGCACTCCGCTTGCACACTGCATGTGCCTGCTGCAAACAGCTGAATAAAATCTGTGAGCACTTTGTCAAAAACAGCACAGATTGCTGCCTGTACCTCCCCCCAGTTAGACCACACAAAATGAGTGTTGTCCAAAGTGTCTTTGTTGGGAAGTGCAGTTAACAAACACAGGACAAATAGCTTTCTTTTTCTCCCCCCCACCCTCCATATCGTGGTTTGATTGATTGAAGCAATGTGACATTACTTCTTTGTCACCTTGGCATACGGCTATTGGTTACCGTAACTTGTTGTGTTGTCATTGTTTACACTTCCATTGCTAATGACCCTCTCTTTTCACAATGTCTTCCAGGCTCCAAGTCATGTGTATGGTGGACACAGTAGTCATGTAACCAACGTCGATTTTCTATATGAAGATACTCATCTCATTTCCACAGGTGGAAAAGATACCAGTATTATGCAGTGGCGAGTCATTTAGAGTAAACCCTGTACGAACATACATGTGTAACCAAGGACTGGCTGTGAACCTAAGTTCTGTACGCACTGTATATGTAAGAGTTAACAAATGGTTGCCGTCTAGCCTAGTCACTGTGATTTTTAAGTTTCAAATCCTTACAAACCTCAGGAAAGCTAAGTTCTTGGCTGGCTGCCATACTTATTTCAGTAATTCATAAAGTATCACTTAAAAAAAAACCAGCAGCAGCAGCACATCATTACTGCTCTTTTTGTTGTACAACATATGAAGCTGTACAAGTCTAAAATGAAGTATTGACTTGGATGCTTATGCAATATATATGAACAGGACTTTTCTATTAAATAGTCACAAAAAAGCTTATTGTAATATTACATATATGTGCTTCACAGTTTCATTATTTATACTTTGTGCTGTCTAGCTGCGTAGTTAGAATATCTATAGTCGGAAAACTGATGGCATTCCCATAGATGGCAGCAGCAAAGAATTTGTATGGAAAGCTTAACCCAAGCTCAACAAAACAGAGTGAACACGCCATTCAGCATGGCTGTTCCGTGGTAGTCATTTTAATGGGACTTGCGTAAGTTTGTCATATGAAATGAAACAGATGTTTCACTCAGCAGTGCTTTCTGGGTTTTCTGGCTCCCATAGTAAAGAACTTGTTTGAATAATGTGAATGTTGGAATAGTCATTAACTTGCAATTTTTCCTGGCATAGCAAAATATTAAAAGTTCAAGGATACAATCTAGCAAAAGTTGGTTAAGACTTGACTTCCATAGAAAAACTGGAATGGGGTTTACTTGTAATCGACTTGAGTCTTAACTGGTTTCAGTGGAATAAGCATTTGCTAGATTGTACCAAGATTTTCTCTCTCTTTGAAATCAAGCAATTTTAACTTGAATATCTCAGCAGGGATTACAGCTTCAGGTAATCTGTTTTCAAGGTGGAAGCTTTTCTCACGTATATGTTCACAATTCCTTATTGAAAAATAACGAACCAATATGGCCACATCTCCGTTATTCAGTTGGCAGAGTGAACCCTAATCTGTATATTGATCAGCATGAATGCAACTACCTTATACACGTGTAAAAAAATAAACAAATTAGCAATTCATAAGAAATAGTAAAGCATTCTAAGCTTTACTTGCCTGTTGCTTATGGATATTGTATATTCGTATTTTAAGGTCAAGTAGACAAAAATATAAAGGGATCCTTTGAAGCGTACCACTCACCTGCAGAGGAGAGATGGGGAAGTAAACACAAATAACTGCTAAGAAGACCAGCTGGACTGCACAAGCAACCCAAGTCTTCTCTTGGGGCTGCAGTGTTTTTAGGACTATCAACAAAGTAATGTGCAGGTCATGACATGTGTGCCCCAGGAGCCTTTGCAGTGTGGCAGAGGGTGCCTGACTTCAGATCATGTGCTGGTCATAAGAGTTGGATCTGCAATGGAGTGTGTGACCACAGCATCCCTGAGAGATGCCTGTCCACCTTTTGCTTGGATACTTCCAGCGAAGGAGAGGCCACCCACCTACGAAGGCCATAGTTCCACTCTTGAGCAACTCTTGCTGTTAGGAAATTCTCCTAACGATCAGCCAAAACCCGCTTTCCCGCAATTTCCACCCGTCGGTTCTAGTCCTTTCCTCTGGCGAAGCAGAGAGCAAGCTTGCTCCATCTTCCGATGCTCCATTTGGGACAGCAAAACGTGTGGGGGTGCCCAACACCGCAGTGCATAAGTTCCACCCTACACCCCCCCCCCGTTTGTTTTGCATGGACCAATATTTATAGTATGAAATAAGATTGTGTTTTGCAATGAAGTAAGAGAGGAGGTGGCATAAAATAGTTCAGAAGGCCTTATTCGTTTTGATTGTGACACAGACTGAAAAATTATTGTTTACATTGGGGAATGTCTCTAAAGACTTTAAACGAGCAGCCCTGTTGTAAGCAGGCTCTGTAAAGCTCAATAGGAAAGTTTTCTTTTTCTTTTTCTTACAAAGGATAGGAACATGTGAATTAATTGAGCTCTGAAGCACGGGTTGTTGAGAGTTATTTCAATGAAGATTTAATAAGTTTTTGAAGCTTTTTTTTATTACATCTTCAACCTGCTACACTGAAAGTGCAGGATACCAATAAACATCATGTATCAAGAAAAATTGTTCGGATTCATTTATATCGCACGACTCAGCGTGGATTAAATTCTGCATTGAAGCTGTGATATGCCGCAGCAACAGCAAGAACAACATTTCCTTTGTGTTTTCAATTACAAATTGGGATAAAATTTTCTGAAAATATCGATGTCAGATTTACCAACATGGATTATATTTTCAAATTCCTGTTCAAACCTTGATTTTGACAAGAAGCAAGTTTTTTGGGTTTTTTTGGAATGATTTTTATTTGGTTTTACAAATCTGTTCACATTCACATTCATCCATAGTAAAAAAAAAAGACTTTGCTTCTTTAAGTAACTTTTAAACTGCATATTATAAATCCATCCAGTTTACTGTCCTCCATTGTATCCAAAATCTATGTATCATTGCAAGAGTTATTTAAAACCTGCTAAAGAGTTCAAGTGTTTTACAGTGGTCTTTCAAATATAATATAAATTTGTCCCAATATTTATTGAAGTTTTGATCCTCCTGGTTTCTGGTTTTGCCGGTTAATCTTGCCACCTCTGCATAGTCCAATAGTTTTGTCTGCCAATCCACCCATGGTAGGTATCTTATCATCTTTACAGCTCTGGGCAAAAAGCATTCTAGCAGCTGTAGTAGCACACATAAGCAGTCTTTTCAATTCTTTCAGTATCTCTGCCCCTACAATTCCTAAGAAAAAAGCTTCTGGTTTTTTATAACAAAGGTTATTTTAAACATTTTCTTCAATTCATAATATATCATTTCCCAGAATTTCTTTATCACTTTACAATTCCACCACATATGATAAAAGGTGCCTTCCTATTCCTTACATTTCCAACAAACATTTGAGCTGGTCCTATACATTTTTGCTGGTTTGGTCGGGGTTAAATGCCAGCGATACATCATTTTCATATAATTTTCTTTTAATGTATAGCACACTGTAAATTCCAAATCTTCTCTTCATAATTTTTCCCATGCTGTATAAACAAGTTTTTTAAAAAACCAGTTCTGCTAAAAACACAAACAGTTCTCACACATTACACACACACACACACATCTATATCTATCATCTATCTATCATCTATCATCTATCTATCTATCTATCATCTATATATTACACATATACACTCCACGTTTCCTACTGTAACCAGCACATAGTACTGGATACAGGAATATAACTGTATAAATATAACTTACATATTCATTAAAAATATGCTGCAGAATTACAGATTATTTTTTGGTCTGTAATTTTGCAAGCAGTTTTGCATATAATTAGTTGAGTTTTTTAAAAACAAAACAACAATGCATGAGCGTAAGTGAATGCTCAATGCAGGAACTATTGCAGTGTGACCAAGGAAACAAAAACAGACAAACTCTCAGAAAAATGCTGGAAATGTTTGTTTTTAATGTGCATTTGGGAAAATGCAATTTTCTAAAGAAACCAGGCACATTAAAAATGCCTTTTGATACTACATTTTCCCTTGGTTTCTAAACGGTAATTACAGAGTATCTAGGCAAATCTCAGTCAGGAGTTGGAGAGTCCAGGCAACACCACCAAATGGGCACTCAGAAAAGATCTACTTGGCTCCATTAAAAGACCCTGGGTCTTCAGACAACCTTTGAGACCAGGTAACCTAGTGGCACTGGTCTTTTCCTTTAGTGTGTATGGTTTTGTTTGTTATACAGTGGTACCTCGGGTTACAAACACTTCAGGTTACAGACTCTGCTAACCCGGACGTAGTACATCGGGTTAAGAACTTTACCTCGGGTTACAAACACTTCAGGTTACAGACTCTGCTAACCCGGACGTAGTACATCGGGTTAAGAACTTTACCTCAGGATGAGAACAGAAATTGTGTGCCAGCGGCGCGGCAGCAGCAGGAGGCCCCATTAGCTAAAGTGGTGCTTCAGGTTAAGAACAGTTTCGGGTTAAGAATGGACGTCCAGAACAAATTAAGCTCATAACCAGAGGTACCACTGTATTTCTTTTGCATTAATGTTTTGCTTCTAACTTGAGTTTCTCTCTCTTTTATAAGGCAAAAGTGAGGTACAAGCATTTAAATAAATAAAAGTGCAGTGACCTCTCCCCAATATCCAGACTCGAGAGTGTGATCCTGAGGGCAGTAGTAGTCTTGGCACTGTGCCTAGTGAACTGCCAAGTGGAAACTTTTAATGTTCCAAGTTTCATCTTTTTAATTTTTAAAAACAAACAAACAATTTCTCCATTTCCTCCCAGCTTCTGTATTCCAGTACTATATTGGACCAATTAGGCATTACTGGCATATTTCTGTATTATTTTAACAACCTTTTTGTTTAAAAAAAGAATAAAACCATTTCCAGAGGAGGAGTAATAGTGCTCAAGCATGCAGCAAAGAGGACACAGGTCTGTTCCTTAAAACTCTGTATCCAAGCACTATTTTTTTTTTGTCCTGGAGTTTTCCTCACAGAAACCCACTCTTTAGCTAATCCAGAGTACGGCAGCAAGACTGGTGATTGGGAGTGGCTGCCAAGACCATATAACACTGGTCCTGAAAGACCTACATTGGCTCCCAGTACGTTTCCAAGCACAATTCAAAGTGTTGGTGCTGACCTTGAAAGCCCTAAACAGCCTCGGCCCAGTATACCTGAAGGAGCATCTCCACCCCAATCGTTCTGTCCGGATACTGAGATCCAGCTCTGACAGGCCTTCTTGCAGTTCCATCACTGCAACAGGTTGCAGGGAACCAGGCAGAGGGCCTACTCGGTGGTGGCGCCCTCCCATCAGATGTCAAGGAAATAAACAACTACCCGACTTTTAGAAGACATCTGAAGGCAGCCCTTTTTCGGGAAGTTTTTAATGTTTGAAGTTTTATTCTGTTTTTCAGGTTTTGTTGAAAGCCGCTCAGAGTGGTTGGGAAAACCCAGCCAGATAGGAGGGTTGGAAATAATAATAATAATAATAATAAATTAATAATAATAATAGCAGCACTCAATCGGAGCAAATGACAATTAATGTTTCCTCCCAGATATGTCAATTGTTTCAATTCAGCTTTAAAGAGTGGGTTTTCGTGGGGAAAGCTCCAAAGCAAAAACCAGATTTCTTGGATAAGGAGCTTTAAAGCACGGACCATGCCTGGAAAGCGCATAGGAAAAGTGGATAAGCCCAGAGTGTGGTTTGCCTTTTCACCAGTCTCTGTTTACCCACTTCAGTTCCCCCTACCCCAGAATGTGGACAAATGCAAATGCTTCTCTTTGGATCAAGAAAATCGACAAAGGGTCGGCAGTGCCCATCATTCAAGCAAGCTAGTCCTACAACCCCTGAACTGGAAATAACGGGGGTGGGATCATGTACAACATGGTTGCATATACCCGACAAGAAATATAATTGTTGGGAAATCCATATTCCGTTGGAAATAGCCATTGCCTGCCTGAAAGTGTGAAGTCTTAACAGTGAAGAGAATCTTCCCTCACTCGTAAGTTGGTTCTGTATTGCGTTATGTGGCTTCCCATCCTATCCTTCCTCTTAGGATTATTTTCACCCTTACTGATGAGGGTAGCCTGTATCTGTTTGGCTTTTTTTAAGGGAAAGGGCCATAACTCAATGGTGGAGAATTTGGTTGGCATGCAGAAGGCCCAAGGTTCATAGAACCAAAGAACTGTAGCATTGGAAGGGAGCCTGAGTGTCATCTCGACTTACCCCCCTGGAATACTGGAATTCGTCAGTTGATTGATTTTCCAAAACAAAGATAAATAAAACATATACTCTTACATTCAACATTTTTGTGTCTTCTTATTTACCATGCGCATTATCGTGCCCTGACTTCCTTCCTTCCCTACATCGGCTTTCACAATTAACATCCTCTCTTACAGATTCTTATTTACACTCTGTCCACGTCACAAGATTTATACTAACCCTGCTACGGTCTTTAAGCTTCTACAATTATTCCGTATGTACTCAACAAATTTACTCCACTCCTCGTCAAACTTTGTTACTTTTTGGTTCCGAATCTCATAGGTCATTTTTGCCAATTCTACGTATTCAAACATTTTCGTCTGCCACTCCGTTAAAGTTGGGATTTCCTGGGTTTTCAATTTTTGAGCCAATAGGATCCTAGCAGCGGTCATGGCACACACAAATAATTTATGGTCCTCTTTTCTTAATTCATCCCCTATTATCCCTAGCAAAAAAGCCTCTGGTTTCTTTGGGAAAGTGATTTTAAAAAGTTTTTTCATTTCGTTATAAATCATGTCCCAGAATTTTTTCATTTTTTCACATGTCCACCACATGTGAAAAAATTCACCATCTTTTAATTTACACTTCCAACAAGCTGTGTTACTCACCCTATACATTTTTGCTAGTTTAACCGGAGTGATATACCACCGGTACATAATTTTCATTAAATTTCATTAAATTATAACACGCTGTAAACCTCGCACCTTCATTAGTTAAAGCACCCATGACAGATGGCCATCCAACCTCTGCTTAAATACCTTCAAGAAGGTTCGTACCCTGGGAGACACCCTGGCTGCACTAAACAGTGCTGAGGTGGATAGGCCAGCAGAATGATTTGGCTTGGTATAAGGCAGTTTCCTGAGTTCCTTCATTGTGGTAACTTGTCTACTGGACAGTCGACATGCATGTATAAGTAGAAAAGCCATTAACATTTCACCTTCTGAAAGAAATAGCAGTAACAGCATGGATACGTTCAGTCCTGAGGAAACATTCCAGAAGCTTTGGAACAACGTCAAAATCGGCCGAATGACCTTGCAGACTGGAAGTTGGCCGGTGGCTATGCAGATTCCCGCATGCGTTGACCTAGCAGCAAAGATAGGCACTAACTCTTGTCGAATTTTGGCAAGGATTTTATTCTCTCTAGATTAGAATGTGCAGGACCACTCTCTTTTCTAAAGGAGCTGCAGGATTGCTTTCAAAAACATGCTAGATAGATAGATAGATAGATAGATAGATAGATAGATAGATAGATATCTTTATTGTCATTGTCCCATACAGAACAATGAAATTGAAAAACTACATAAAACATTCA